CAGACCACACCATGAGCCCATGATTAGAGAGGATAAACCCAGCTGTCTAGACAGTCAGGGGTCTCGATTCTTGGGTCAGATCCTTGCAGGAAGGCAGTCCTGGGCCACCTTGAGAATCACCGACATGATATAACATGACTTAGAGTCATAGCACTCAGATTCAAATTCTAGATTTTTTTCTTTTGTCCCTTAATAAATCTTTATTGATCACATTCTGGATGTCAGGCATTGGAATACAACTGAGATGAGCTGTAGTGAGGTTTTACAGTTGAGAGAGGAAAATCTGGCTTATTAGTATTTAGAGCTAACTTCGATGATCTTCTATTTATCAGGTCCTATCCCACAGATTTCATCCATTTCTGTTCTAATGATGCCACGAGGTCATGAATTGCCATTGTGTCAGTTATGGTTCATGTCAACCCCAGCTGTCAAGGCTGTGATCTGTCAGAAGCAGATGGCCAGGCCTGTCTTATGAGGACCTTCTGGATGGGTTTGACTTTCTAGTCTTTGGGCCCTAAGTCCAACTCTTGTTGAACACGTGCCTCCTGGGGAGGCCAAGCACGATTGTTGTTCTCACTTTATGCAGGAAAAAACTGGGGACTCAGAGAGTTAAGAAGATCACTCAAGGTTACACAGCTGGTAACTAGCAGAGCTCAGATTTAGAACTAATACTCTGAACTGCTGTGCTGTAAGCTAGTCCATTGTGCCACTGATTCCTACCCCAAATCTCGTTCTATTGAGGGAGAGATGGGTTTTATCTCACTTTGCAGAGAAAGAAGTGGAGGACTAGACAGGTTAGGTAACTTTAGGATAATAATACAGTGAATGAAGTCCTGGGCTGATGTTTGAAGCTACTTTGACTATTGGGATGAGCAACCTTGGGCAGGCCACAAAACCTCTCTAAGTCTCAGGCTTCTCATCTGGAAAATGGGACCACACTAACTTTGGAGATTCCCATGAGGTTACATGAGATGATGTTTGTGTCAAGACTGGCTCAGAACAGAGCAGCAGGTACCACTCATGGCTGCTGATTGAGGAGGCCAAATGGAGAAGAAGACGTTTCCCTCTGACCCCCTTCCCTCTCTTACCTCCCATAGAGCATCAGTCCTTCGTAGTTAACAAGTGCATTTACAAAGTCAAGGTTTTGTAATGCTACAGTCAACATTTCCTTAAAGGAACTCCCAAGAGGGCATTGCCTAACCCAGAAAGAAAGTTGTTCCAGTGGTAAGATTTTAGGCAGCTGCTAGGAGGTATTTTCTTTTCATTCCCCCATCAAGATCGCAGTTCAGTGTTTTTCAATGTGCTTATAAACCTGTGTGCCCATGACCACCATCTAATTTTAGAATGTTTTTAACACACCAGAAAGAAATCCTGCACACACGAGCAATCATTTGGAGCAGGCAATACTTAGATTGAAAGGAAAGCTGCTCAAATAGTGGCTTTGTAGGTAGTTTGGTGGGTAAATTGGGATGTCTTGGGGAGTGTTTCTCAAACCATGACTCCTGAACCATTGCCTCTGCCATTTTCTCCACTATTAGAGAGATCCCCGGGGCGTGGAATGCTTAACTGGTCTATCTTAAGAGCCAAGGAATACTTCCAATTTCCACTGCCCACTTTTCAATGGAATGTTCTAGAAAATGTTCCAGAGAAAAGAGGGTAGATGTGGGAAGAAGCCAACCCAAAAGGGATGATGGGAGAAGAAGTGAGAGTGAGGAAGGCAGAACTGTGTCCCACGTAGATAGCTGCCCTTCCCACAGTTACAAGACTTAAGATTCTGAATAAGATTGTGTCGTTCACCTCCTCAAAGTGCTCCAGTAGCTTTCCTTACCTTTTGGGAAAAAGACCCAGAGCCCTGAACAGCCTCTAAGGTCTCTCAACTTTATCCCATGCTGGTCTCCCTCTTGCTTTCTTCCCCTCAGCTTCCTTGGCTTCGTTTCTCTTCCTATTCATAGTCTCTGTGAGCCTTTGTGGAAATTAGAAAAAGGCTCACCCTCTTGATGGACAAGTTAGAAAAAAGGATTTTATTCCTTCTGTCTGGTGCCTTTTTACAGTGCACAACTTACATAACTGCGCACAGCATCTGGAAGATGTTGTTAGAGGCGATTGAGTTGGCTCTGACCTTGGAGAACAGAATGAAACATTACCTGACCCTGCACCATCTTCATGGTTTTTTATTGGTTTCAGCCCTTTGTTGTCATGATTCTGCCAGTTGTTGAGGGTTCCCTTTGTTTCCCCTGAGGCTTTACTTTACCAAATATCATTGGTCTTTCCTATGACCTATCCAAAGCAAGCAAGAGGGAGCCTCACCATCCTTAATTCTCAGTCTGAAGATTAAGATAAGCCTGATCCAAGCCATGGTCTTTTCAGTTGCTTCCTATGCATCTGACAGTTACACCATGAATAAGGAAGACTGAAGAAGTGATGCCTTTGGAGTGGGGTGCTTGCAAAGAGTACTGAATATCCCATGGATGGCAAATGGAATAAGCCAATCTGGTTTGGAGGAATTACAGCCAGGGACAAGAGCCTTAGAGACAAGGAGGGGGAAATGTCATCTCACATGTTTTGGACATTTTATCAGAAGGGAACAGTTCTTGGAAAAAGACACTGTGTTTGGAAAGGTAGCGGGTCAGTGAAAGAAAGGATGACCTATAATGAGATCTTATGAGATAGATTGACTCAGCGAGGACAATAATGGGTTTGAGTATGGTGGAGATTGTGAGGATGGCTCAGAATTTTGATTTGTTTTTCCATAGGGATGTTATATTGTTATGTTATGTTATGATGTTGTTATGTTATGATATGTTGTTATGTTATGATATATTGTTATGTTATGATATATTGTTATGTTATGTTATGATATGTTGTTATGTTATGATATATTGTTATGTTATGATATATTGTTATGTTATGTTATGTTATGTTATGTTATGATATATTGTTATGTGATGTGATGTGATGTTACATTATGCAATGCAGTTGATTCAAAGGCATCAAAACCAAAAATGTCTAAGGATCATTTCAGTTTTATTTCTTCTAAGTCTGAATTACTCATTCCTTTGGCAGTCCATGGTATGCTCAATATTCTTTGTCAACATCACAATTTAAAGCATCAATTCTTCTGTCTTCTCTTCTCATTGTCTAGCTTTTGACGCATGTGGAAACATGTCTTGAAGCCCCAAACAGACAATATTTTGGCATCTGGTGGAATGGAAAGAGCACGATTCTAATGACAGCGTGGAAATCTCAGCTCAGCCTCTGCCTGCTGTGTGATCCGCAGAAAGTGGTTCAATAAAAGGGGTGAACCATCCCCACTTTGGAGGGTGGGGGGAACTGTGCGCTTCAGTGAGGATTAAATGAGAATGCTGTGCTTGATTCCTGTGGGGACTCGATCAATATCCTTCCCTTCCGGTGTGGCCCAAGGGTCTCTATCTCCATGTAACAGAAAATCAATGATGTTGACAGAAGTGTGCACATTTTTCTTATTACAAACTCTCTTTTCCCATTACAAACGTTTCATTCCATTTTCACCATTACCATCCTGATGGTACTCGGAATGATGGCAACAGATTCTTAATTTGTGCTTGTCACCTTCCACCTGGCTCTGTTCAGTCCTCTCAGAAGGCCTGAGAGCATATCTTCAGAACAAAATCTGGCCATGCCACCCACACCTCACCCCAAAGGCCAATTGCTCAGAAGGCTTTCCAGGACTGTTGAAGCCATTTGAAGCTCAGTGCTGTTGGTGGTGGTTGACCTTGACTGTGCTCTGACTCATGGGGGACCTTATCTGGCACAAAGCAATGTTGTCAGGTTCTGTGCATCCTTGTGATGATAGGTATGTTTGCTCCCTTGTTGAAGTTAACATTCCTTCTCATTGAGTTTCCCTCATTAGTTCTGGCTTTCTACTTGACCAAACATCATGGTCTTTTCTAGAAGTTGGTCTTTCCTGGCAGTGTGTGCAAAGCTAAAGCTTGCCATCCTCACTTCTGAAGCGTATGGCTTGAGATAGCCCCTTCTTACTGGAGAACCCAAAGGTCTCCAGTAAGCGTATTGTAAGACCAAGGAGAGTTGCGACCGGTGACCTGGGCTCCATGACCCACAGAGAAGAGCCAAAATTGGGACTGAAACCCCCAGCAGCCTGGCTCCTGGCCTAGATTTCTGCTTTGGGCACAATGGCTGGGTTGGAGAACATGGAACTCAAGTGTAGACAGGGAAGGCAAGCTGTACAGGATAGCTGTTGAGTGGTGGCAGTATGTGATGAAGATGGGACGAACAGCAGTCCCAGTGGGCTGATTACATGACAGGTCAACGGGCTGTTGCAGAATCTCTGTTCAAAAGCGACATCAGGTGGCAGTAAGGGGAACAACAGCCTTTGAATTGACCCACTCTACAAACTCTCTGTACGGCATTTGGAAGCAAGACTCACTCCACTTGAACTAAGTGCTCCTCAATATTTTTATGGTGAATTTTAAGTGTTCTTGGAAAGCAACAATGAAATTATTCGCTAATAGAGGCATGTGGAAGCTCCAGAGATTAAAACATTGAAAAAGAAGTGGTTATGTATGTGCATCTGCAGGCTATACACTGAGCATACCTCGTGAATGAATGAATAAACACAAAAAATGAAAGAACACTAGCACTCAGCCTTCTGCAGAAAATAAACCCTCTACAACTTTCTCATTTTGATTTTTTTTATGAAGCACAAATAGAATTAAACCATGGTTACAATCTAAATTCAATTGCTGGAGGAAATGTCATTGTAGTTTTAGCTCTTAAAGGAGGCTCACAGTAGCAAAAATACATACCACACACCTTCCCCATGAACATCCTCCCTACGTTTAGATCATCCCTGGTTCTGAGTCCAGAGAAGTTTGTGAGGGCCTTGTGGTCAGGATGTAGGGCAGGCCAGCTGGAGGAAGGTGGCCTGGGCTCCAGAGGCTGTGGGAACAGGCGTTGAGATCCTGCTCCTGGGCGGTTGGCAGTCCCCAGCATCCCAGACAACTTCAGGCATAGTGAACATCTGCCCCAAACAGCAGGAAATCCTAGGGAGAGATGGGCGTGCCAGCATTAGTCGGAAGAGAACCCCTTGCATATGAGCATGGGGCTGCTGGGCGCTTAAAATGGGAAACTTGAGAGCTTGCCTGTTGGGAAGGAGGAAGCAGCATGAGGTCTGTGTGCTGACAGAAAGGTGGGGGACACAGGGACCTGCACACCGATGGCTGCCAGCGCCCCAAATCTGTCAGCAACTTCGCTGGCAGCTGTCTCTCTCTCTGATGCTGAGACCCCTGGGTTGGCTTGGAGCCATAATTTGTCATCTCTGCCTCATGGCTGCTCAAGGGAGCCCTGGCTCCAATCAAAGCTGCAAAACCTCTCCTCTTGGCCCCTTCATCCCCTTCACTCGGAATCTTTAGAAATGAAATGAAACTGCTATGCAGTTGCATTGCTGTTAAATTTTTTGTTTGTTTGTTTATCTTAAAGGATATATACTCAGTAAAATTTGGGGATCATCTGCCCTCTTAACTGTTTTGCTATCACTTCTTAGCTCTATTAGCTCCCTGGACTTCGAGTTAGACTGCCTGGATTTTTAAGTTATAAGAGAGTGAGAAATCTCAGCAGTGTGTGGCTTTTGCAGAAGGCCACGGGGTGAGCGGGTGAGAAAGCCATTGGCCGGGGGAAGAGTCCAGCATGGGTGGTTTTTTTGCTGCAGAGACGCCAGCCTTACTGGGACATTCTGGGTCCAAGAGCCTCAGACGTTGAGGAAGTCAGCATACACCTGAATCAGGAGTGTAGAGGGGACAGAAGGCTGGGACGCTGAGTGGAACAAAGTGATCACAGGAAGCGAATCATGGGAACCAAGAGGCCAGAGGGGAGCTCTGGAGAAGTCCTGATGGCAAGGGGCAGGAGAAAGCCACAAAAGGGACGGTCAGTGTCTAGTGAGGAGCTGGGTGGAAAAAACCAGGAAAAGATCTTTGAAACCGAGAGAAGAAGGTGATGCAGGAAAGGTGTATTGTTTGTGTCACTGCTTGGCCAGCCCCCAATTCGTGCACAATAGAAGGAAATGCTGGCCAGTTGTACCAGCCCCACAATCAGCTGGGATCTGTGGCGGGTTTTTTTTTTATTTTATGGTTTGCAGAAGTAGCTAGCCAGGCCATTCTTTCGAGTCTTTCTAGGGTTGGAAGCTCCATTAGAACTTGCTCAGAATTACTGCAACACACGAGCCTCTGCTGACAGATGGGTGGAGGCTACCCAAGATGTGTACTGCTGGGAATCGAATCCAAGTCCCCTGTATTGTTTTTGTTGTTGTGTGCCATCAAGTTGGAACTGACCCGTAGCTGATCCTCCATTGAGTTTTGAGAGGCAGCAACCAGCACGAGAGGTTGCTCATCTTTCTCCTGCAGAGCAGCTGGTGGATTTGAACTGCATACCTTTGTGTAGACAATGCAACTCCTTACCACTAAGCCACCGAAGTGTCCTTAGGAAGGTGTGAATTCTACTACCGAATTAGCAACACTGCAATCCTAATTAATAGGTAGGGGTAAAAGATATCAGGTCATTTGGAGGCTGGGCTGGGTGAAAGCCAAAAGGAAAAGGTGCGTGTGTATTTGGACATTTTGTAGCTGTTGGTTCCTAAAAGAGAATACACTGAGTGCGAAGGGAGGAGTGTGATGTATATTTGTCAGCTAGTTGAATACATTTACCTTCTAGAGAGATTCTTGGGCTAACAAGTGAGTTCCACGTGCAGTGTGGGAATGAGGGCGGCATGGAGAACAGCAGAGGATCTGTCTTTGACCTCACTTGACAGCTGTGTGGCTTTGGCCAAGCTATTTAACCTCTCTGAGCCTGAATCTTTCTTCTCTGTTTACTAACCACATCCTAGGGTGGTCAGCAGGGTAGAGAGTATTTGATACAGGGCTCAGCACGGAGGAAGCGCTGTGGGGAGAAGTCACTATGATCGGGAGCAGAGGGAGCTTTGGTGGATGGAGGCTTTGAGGACTCACCTGATGAGGCTGAAGTATCAGGTCGGAGAGCAGGATATGGGCGGGCAGCGGGAGGGGGAAGCCTTGTTGCAGCTTCGCTGTAATGGAGACCATTAGTGAGGCTGAGGGAAAGGGAAGAACCCAGGGAGCCAGGGTGGGCAGCCCCCCGATGTGGCGGCTCTGCTCCATGCAGGGATTGACATGTCTGAAAGAAGGCATTTCTGCAGACTGTTCACCACCCTCCAGATTCGGGACCCAGGTCTCAAGTTCGCATCCAGAACCTGTGTGGGCCTCTTCCTCATGACTGTCTTCCAAAGAGTTGACTTGCACCGCTGGTATATTTGGGCTGAGTGACAGCCAAGGGCAGCGGGGATGCAGACAGAGCTTGGACGTATCGTTAGGGGTTTCTACAGGTGTCCTCACAACTGTCTCAAAGCTGAGACAAAGTCAGAGGTGGATATTGACCAAGAGCGTGCCACATTCTAAATTCACTCCTGGCCTCTCAGCTCATGATGAAGCTATATTTGGAAAGCTAGATCATATTCTATATAAGAGCATTTGGGTTTAATTGATAATTCCTAAACAGCTCAGTCACATGCTACGTGGTCTCTAAAATTCTCCTCCCTGGCTCTGCAGAGGTTAGGAGCCGGTCTGCCTAAGGCTTGTACTAGCTTGGGGATGACGAGTTCTTTGTAGAAATTAGCAGAAGACACCCTGGGCTTTCTCCCAGGGTTGGAAAAGACCATCAGGAACTCTGACTTCAGAACTGAGATCAAATCCAGGCTCCTCCTCGCACCTGCTCTGTTATCTGGAGCGAGTCACTGAGCCTCTCTGAGCTTCTAATGCCTCCCGTGAAAATAAAAGTTATCAATTAACTCCCCACCCTTGTGGTCTGTTGTCAGGATGAATAGATGGGCACAGAATAAGAACTGGACAGACACGTGTGTATTTTTTTTCCACTGCCCCTTTTTTTTGGTCAGATGCCATCTGAAGTTCACTGACAGGGATTGTCCCTTGATGCCTCTAGGACAGTCCCTCCTCCCACTTCCATCCACTTCCTCTGGGACCAAAAAGCAATAGTTTCTCCAAAGCTCCTTACCATTAACCTTGGGAAGCACAAGAGAGGGTACTAGATAGTTGAGGACATCATGCAGCAACTGAACCTGAAACAATAAACGAGGAGATGATCTAAGGGGTGAGCCCAAATTTAGTGGCAAAGATGCTCATTAAAGCAATTAATTTCATAAGAAATTAAACTACAAGTGACATACCTCCTTCCCCAAAGAGCAATATATGTGTCCAACAACAGAGGAATAGAGTGGGGGGAAATGATGACACTTTGGTATTGTTATTGTGCCGTCAAGTTGCTTGTGATTCATAGCGACCCCATGTACAATAGCTCTGATCCCTGCTCTGTTTTGATCCAATTTAATTGTCTGTGACAGACCTACCCCCATTAGCCCAGTCACCATGTCATTCCATTTCATTCAGGGTCTTCCTCTCTTGTGCTGTCCCTTCACCCTTCCAAGCATGATATCCCTCTTCAAGGACTGGTTCTTCCTGGCAACATGCCCAAAGTATGTCAGCCAAAGCTTCAAAATCCTTTCCTCCAAGGAACAGCTTGGTTTCACCCTCTCCAGGATGGACCTATTTGTTCTCTCGGTGGTCCATGGTATATTCAATGTTCTTCTCCAGCACCAAAACTCAAAGGCATCCACTCTCCTTCTATCATCCTTAGTCACTGTCCAGCTCTCTGAGGCATAGCAAGTAATTGAAAAGGCCATGGCCTGGATCAGGTGCACTTGAGCCTCCAGACTGACATCATTGCTCTTCAGGACTCTGGAGAAATCTCTGGCAACAGATTTCTCCAGTGCAATTCATCTTTTGATTTCTTGGCTGCTGGTAACAAGAGTGTTGATTGTGAAGCCAAACAAGGTCAAACTGTTAACTATCTCAATCTCTTCACCATCTATCATGATGCTGCCAATTGGCCCAGTGGTAAGAATCTTTGTTTTCTTGATGTCGAGCTTTAATTTAGTATTAAGAAATACTAGTATATTTGGTGATACTGTTGTACAAGCATAATTATCAACAGCTATTAACAATATATTATTGAATAAGGCAATCAGGTCACAGAAATGGCACCACTTAATTTCCCCCCCCCTTCAATTAAATACATATAGCAAAAGGTCAGGAAGGCTATACTCCAAAGTGGTAAAAATGTGCATAGTTTTTATTTTATTTTTGTTTCACTTGAGCAATAATAATAATAATAAAAACCCAAGTAAGTTAAAAAATCATGCAAAATCCTCAAGGTGATTGTCTGCAGGTGTGACATTTACAACTTGTAAATATGCATGTTTTTGTTTCAGGAACCAGCCAGCTTCCTTCCTTGGGTTATACTTTCTTGGACTCATCAACTGCAGTGCCTTTCTTCCTGTGAATCTTGGGATTTAATTTTTTCACTTTTCTTTCTGCAGGAGCAGAAGTTAGCTACTGACTCATTCTAGCCATCTCAAGGGTGTTGGCAACTATAAAGCTGTGAAATAAAAGGCACTTCCTGGGGGTCCTTCTATTCTTTTGCTAGGTCCTTCTATTCTTTTGCAGTCTATTCAGGTGGAAATGACTGGATTTTTTTTTCTAAGACTTAGAAGGGACATTGGGTCTGGTTTTGGGGCTAGAGGCTTATAAGGCATTCACTCTGCAGGGGAGCCTTGGGGAGCATTTCAGTGATCTAAGGAATTGTTTGTCACAAAGTGGAGAGTTTAATGGAAGACCTTCCAAAAGATTCAAGCCATGTGATGCTGAGGACAAAATCCAGGCACAGTGGCTCCCAGCTCCGTGGAGGGGCTGTTGATGAGCATTTGAGCCGCTTTCTTGTATGGATCACTTGCTATCAGTTCCCCAGGCGAGGGCAGCAGCACTGCCTACTCATTGATGTCCAGTTATTCCTGGAGAGTGGAATGGTCTACATAGGCTTGGTGGATTCCTGTTCCTCTCTCCCACTTCCCCATCTCAGTAAGTGGTTCTATTCTTCACTCAGCTCCCCTCATCCTCCAGTTGTGCCTTTGAGTTGATGCCAACTCAAGATGATTTCAAATGTTGTTTTTGTTATGTGCCGTCGAGTCGCCTGCGACTCATACTGACCCTATGTACAACAGCCCTAAACTCCGCTCTGTCCTGTGCCAATCGCACTGTCTCTGACACTCCCATCCCAATTATCCCAGTCACTGAATCAATCCACCTCATAGAGGGCCTTCCTCTCCTGTGCTGTCCCTCTACCCTCCCAAGCATGATGTCCCTCTCTAAGGACCGGTCTCTCCTCACAACATGTCCAAAGTATGTTAGACGGAGCCTCAGAATCCTTGCCTCCAAGGAGCCACCCGGTTTAACCCTTTCCAGGACAAATCTGTTTGTTTTCCTAGCAGTCCATGGTATTCTCAATACTCTTCTCCAGCACCACAGCTCAAAGGCATCAGTTCTTCTTCTATCCTCCTTGGTCATTGTCCAGCTCTCTGATGCATAACAGGTGATTGCGAAGACCATGGCCTGTATCAGACGCACCTTAGTCTCCAGAGAGACACCATTGCTCCTCAGTACTTTGGAGAAGTCCCTAACAGCAGACTTTCCCATGGCAATGCTCCTTTTAATTTCCTGGCTGCTGGAGTAAAACTGTGTTCCAGAGTTTTCAATGAGTTTTTGGGAGTAGATCACCAGGCTTTCTTCCAAGGCACCTCTAGGTGGTCTTGAATGTCTAATCTTTTGGTTAACTGCCCAGTGCTTAACTTTTTTTGTACCACTGAGGGATTCTTCCAAACAACGGCTCCTAGAAGCCATTCTGACTTTCCTGTCTCCTCACCACACACATCAAATCTCTCCCCACTTTCTGTTCCCAAATAGGCCCTTCTTGCTCCCATCTTTCTCCTTTCTAGCTGGGTCATAGTCCCTATCATCTTTAACCTGAAAAATAACGCATCGACCTCCCTGGTCTGTCTCTCATCCCCTATAATTCATGCCCCAACAGGAACCAGTGGGCTTTTTGACACAGATGCCATCAGATCAGGCCACTCCCTGCATGAAACAGCTCAGTGCCTGTTTAATACAATCTGCTTTTCCCATCTGCCATCCAGAAGACCTCTCATGGGCTGGCTCTTGCCTCTCACTTCTCTCTTGGCCACATTCCCTTCTCCAGTGCACATTTCCTGTGCTCAGAATAGCCTCTCTCCTGGGCCTCAAACATACCAAGCTCCTTCCCACCACAGGGCCTTTGTTCCTGCTGCTTTCTCTACCCGCAGATGATCTTCAACTTTTTTTTTCCCCCCACAAAAATCTACAGAGTAGTTTTATTCTGTTTATAGGTCCTGAATTGGAATTGGCTCTTCAACATTTGGTGAACAGCAACAGTATAAACAGAAATAGAAATAAGCCTAAAAATTAAGATTTCTTTAAGAAGGAATATGGATTTTGTATATTCCAAACTATTCTATAAAATACTTATTTTTAGTTAACTTTGAAAGACATATTTATCTCTGTATTTACATAAATTCCATGAAATATATGTGTGTGTGCGTGCGCGTGATTCCCATTAGAATTATGTTGTTGTTATGCGCCGTCGAGTCCTTTGTGACTCATAGCAACCCTATGTACAACAGCCCTAAACCCTGCTCTATGCTGTGCCAATTGCATTGCCTCTGACACACCCATCCCGATTACCCCAGTCACTGAATCAATCCACCTCATAGAGGGTCTTCCCCTCCTGCGCTGTCCCTCTACCCTACCAAGCATGATGTCCCTCTCCAAGGACCTGTCTCTCCTTACAACATGTCCAAAGTATGTCAGACGAAGCCCCAGAATCCTTGCCTCCAAGGAGCAGCCTGGTTTAACCCTCTCTAGGATGAATCTGTTTGTTTTCTTGGCAATCCATGGAACATTCAATACTCTTCTCCAGCACCATAGCTCAAAGGCGTCAATTCTCCTTCTATCCTCCCTAGTCATTGTCCAACTCTCTGATGCATAACAAGTGATTGCAAAGACCATGGCCTGTATCAGGCGCACCTTAGTCTCCAGAGAGACACCATTGCTCTTGAGTACTTTAGCCTATGTATTAGAATTATAGGTGCATTTAAGTCCGCTTCTTTTCTTTTTTTCAACTTTTAGTTCTTGCTCAGCTTCAGGCATTGACTCAAACATCACCTCCTGACAGAGGCTTTTATTGATCACAGTCTAACCCCTCAACCCTCCTGTCACGTGCCTCTTCATCCCCTTTCTGCCTAGTATTCATCATGACTGAAATGAGCTTCATTTCCTCCTGTCTATCTCTATCTCTTCCCACACTAGGGCTCAGAAAAGAGGTAGGATTCTTGTTTTGTTCATCAGCATCTTCCTGGAACGGTGCCTGACACACAGTAAGTAGGTTCTCAATAAAGTCATTCACTTCTTCACTCAATAAACATCTGTCGGATGCTCCAGCTTGCGTATATTTAATCTCAGTTAAACCTCAACCCTAAACTCAGGCTGAGGGGATATTTATGATTTGTGGGGAAAGTGTGAAGTTCAAGGTGGGGAAATGACCATGCCTAATGCCACACAAGGGAGCTCTGGTGGCCTAGTGGCAAGAAGCTGTGCTGCAATCCCAAAGGCATGCAGTTCGAGGCCACCAGCTACTCCACAGGTGAAAGAGGGACAATCTCCTCTTGTGCGATTAACTGTCTCTGAAAACTCACTGGAGGGTCAGCTATAGCTCAGTTCTGACTCTATGGTACACATACAGGAAATGTTATTTCCAACAGGGGGCTGTCTGTCCCCAAAGCTCCTATACTATTAGTTCCATGCAAATAACATGCAAATGAGTTCGTGGTCTGCTAAAATTATGCCAGAAGCTGGAAGTAGCTGTCACAAGACCCGACCCCCACCTCTACCCGCCCAGTATCAAGAGAAGGAAGGAGCCAGGCAGGGCCATAGACTCACCGAGAAGGGGCCGATGTCTGAGTGCTTCAGGTCCAGAATCAGCCTGTAGGAAGAAGAGGAGAAGACTGAGACCTGTCCTGATGAGATCCCACCTTGCTGGCTGCAGAGCCTGTGAGAAGGGCCTGCCACCCTGGTGGACATCAGCTGGGTGTGGGGGTCAGTACTATGTCTTTTCCTCGGTCCCCTGCACCTTAGTTTTCCCTTTAAGAAGCCACTTCTTTTCCAGCCTCGAGCTGCATTGTCTGAGGGCTGCTTACCCCTCACTGAGCTCCAGAGCTGGAAGAATGGTACAGCTCACCTCCCTACCCAAAGCGATTTCATTAAGGGTGGACATGGGCCCAGTAGGAGTTGGCTCTAGTATTTCTGATGGCAGTGTTGGGGAGGAGGCATTCTCTGTCCCCCAGGAAAAACAGAAAGCTGCTGGTGGCCACTTTGCCGCCACTTGGTGACAGTGTGCCAGACAGTGAAGCGAGTGCAGAGGAGAGTCAAGGCAAGTACGGAGAGAGTCAGATTCCTAGTGACACCGTTCGAACACCTGGACCCACCTTTATCCACAATCCTTGGGTTTTCAGTTTCCTTAGCTAGTAAAATGTCTGCTCTTGACAAGTTTGATGGCATTTAAAAAAGAGCGAAGAGCAAGGGAGCAATCTGTGATTGCTGATTGCACTTTCATCAATCGTTATGTTGAATGTTGCTTCCTCCAGCTGAATCTCTGCAGCCCTCCCAGAGTTAAGAGTCATCACATTCCCATTTTACAGACAAGGCAACTGACCCTCAGAGAGGCTGCACAGCCTGTGCCCAGTCTTACAGCCAACAGTCAGGAAAGCAAGATTTCAAATCCAGGTTTCCCCGAGGCCAAGGTGTTCACCTTTAGCATCCCAGACGACTTGGGATTTGCTCTTGCCAGGGGTCAAGGAGCCCCAGGAGCCCTGCTTTCTCCTCCTCCACCCACCACCCCCAAACCATGCATTTCACATGCTTGCCTGCTCAGCACCCAGCTGTACCCTTTCCAGCTCCTTCACTCGAGTGACCCCCAGGTGTTTCAAGGAAAATGAACTCCACGTGTTTCCACAGCAGTAACACTTGTCAAAACAATGTCTCGGGGAGCTCTGGTGGCCTAGTGGCAAGAAGCTGCACTGCAATCCCAGAGGAACACAGTTCGAATCCACCCGATGCTCTGCCGGAGAAGGAGGCGCAATATCCTCCTGTACCAGTCAGATCTGATTTGACAGTACACGTACACAAAATAAAAACAAAACAAAATTTTAAAAAAACACCACAATGTCTCAAGGTGAAGAACAGCACTGAGCCAGAGAGGAGGCAGACACAGGACCAGGACAAGTGGAGACCAAGGTGGAATTCAAACAGCAAGGACAAGGTCAAGTGCCAGGGGCCTGCGGCTAGACGTTGGGGTCATTGTCTCTGCGCTCTAAAAGAAGTGCCAACTTCTCTGTGTCTTTGGGAGTCTCCTCTTTGTGCTCTTCTTCCTCGCTAACTCCCTCCCTTTGTGTACCTGACAATACACACATCAAAACTCACACCACTTCAACAAGTTTTACATGTACTATTTAATGGCCTAGTGGCAATTAGCTGAACTGCAATCCCCAAAGGCAAAGGTTCAAGGTCACTAGCTGCTCCACGGGAGAAGGATGGGCAATCTCCTCTCGTGTGATTAACTGCCTCTGAAAACCCACCAGAGGGTCAGCTAGGGGTTGGATCTGACTAGATGGTCCTCAAACAGCAACAACATTTAGTGTCGTTGGTTGTACGCTTCAAGTCTTGCCAAAGAGGAAGCAGGGAGGAGGAGGTAAAGGTCATTCTGAGCATCATTTAGCAGCTATTTGCCTAACATCTGCTACATCCCAAGAGTTAGAAAGACCCCCATGAAACCTCATGTTTCAGGTGGAGAAACTAAGGCTCAGCCACTCAGGAGCGTGGCTGCCACCTTCCTCTACTCCTTTTCCCCCAGTGACGTCACCATCAAAAACCCAACCTCACCGTCCCCACACTTCTAATCTATTCTTTCCATTTGCTGTTGTCAGTGTAATCGCATGCAGACAATTCTTGAAAATGAATGTAATGCTTGATGCAAACATTTATTCTTTTCTAATTATGCTAAACTATTGGTTCAAAGGTGACTTCAGGGGTAATGATAGTTCAAGGTTTAACGACGGCCTCAGGGAAATAGTTTCTTGGAGGGGGAGCTCTCCCACCCTTCGGCCTATCTTTTCCATCCCTCTGTCTCTCTTTTATGCTCTCTCCCTTTTCATCTCTTTTTCTTCTGTCACTCCCTCTCCTGTCCTTCCTTCTCTCCTTTTTGAGTTTTCTAATGCGAAACCTATACTTGGTCCAAGAGGCAGTTGTCAGAACGGAGCAGGGAAACACTGCATGGTTCAAAATTGGGAAGGGTGTGCGCCAGGGATGTGTCCTAGCTCCATACCTTTTCAACCTGTGTGCAAAACAGATTAACCGAGAGGGTGGGCTCTGTGAGGAGAAGTGTGACGTCAGGATTAGTGGAAGATCTATTAACAATCTGCGTTATACAGATGACACAACCCTGCTTGCTGAAACTGAGGAGGACCTGATGCACTTGCTACAGAGGGTCAAGGACTGAGGCCTTCAATATGGACTGAGAGGCTCAATAATGTTAAGACAAAGATTCTCACCACTGGACCAATTGGCAGCATCAGGATGGATGGTGAAGAGATTGAGATGGTTAACAACTTTAGTTTGCTTGGCTCCACAGTCAACACTCTTGGCACCAGCAGCAAGGAAATTAAAAAATGTATTGCAACGGGAAAGTCTGCTGTTAGGGACATCTCCAGGGTACTGAAGAGCAACGGTGTCACTCTGGAGACTAAGGTGCATCTGATACAGGCTAAGGTCTTTGCAATTACTTGTTATGCATTGGAGAATTGGACAATGACTAGGGAGGCTAGAAGGAGAATTGATGCCTTTGAGCTGTGGTGCAGGAGAAGAGTATTGAATATACCATAGACTGCCAAGAAAACAAACAGATTCATCCTGGAGAGTGTTAAACCAGGCTGCTCCATGGAGGTAAGGGTTCTGGGGCTTCGTCTGACATACTTAGGACATGGTGTAAGGAGGGACCGGTCCTTGGAGAGGCACATCATGCTTGGGAGGGTGGAGGGACGGCATAGGAGGGGAAGACCCTCTATGAGGTGGATTGATTCAGTGACTGGGTAATGGGGGTGGGGGTGTCAGAGGCAGTGCGATTGGCACAGGATAGAGCAGGGTTTAGGGCTGTTGTACATAGGGTCGCTATGAGTCGCAAGCAACTCGATGGTACATAACAACAACAACAATAACAACGAGTTTATTTACAAAATTCAAATACATTGTTTTTAAGAACAAATTCTTTCCATTTCCCTCACTCCTCCACCCATCAGATTGTACAACATCATGATTAATCCACCCTTCCACCTGCACATCCTCATCCCTCTGCTTCTACCCTCTCCTACCCCTCTTGGATCCTTATACTCATTAATGGTTTTATACAGTATTTATCCTTTTGGGACTGAGTTAGTTCACTCAGCATAATGCTCTCCAGTCCTTCCCAAATTAGGTAATAGTTTACAAAGTCATTGCTCCTGTGTGCTGCGTAGTATTCCATTGTGTGAATGTACCATAATTTCTCAATCCATTGGTTTGTGGTTGGACATTTGGGCTGTTTCCCTGTTCATGCAAGTGTGAATAATGCTGCTATGAATATTGGTGTACAAATCTTGTTTTGTGCCTCAGTTCCCATTTTCTCAGGGTATATTCCAAGTTGTAACCATTCTGGAAGGCAGTTTGGTGCTTCCTCAAAAAGCTGAACAATGAAATTCTATATGACTCAGCTATTCCACTACTTCCTTCTATTTTCAATCTTTCCTTTTGTCTCCCTCTTTCTGTACCACTCTGCCTATATTTCTCAGCAATTTATGTGTCTCCTCTTTCATCTTTCTCTCTCCTCTCTCTCTCTCTCACATACTGGGTATTTGCAACATCCTCAGAAGAGCTCTGGACACTTCACACATACTAATCCCTCATTTAATCCTCACGGCAATGATTTCAGCAAAAGAACAGCTGTCTGATAGTTGGGGGATGGACGGGGACAACTTTGAGGTGAGCTGTGCTCAGATGCAAAGCCTCACACTCCAGTCCACCCCCCCCCAACATCCTGACCTCTACTGCTGGGATTCAGACTCTCCCAGCAGGTATAGATTAAGTCCCAAGGGCAGCGAGTGAAGGAGCTGAGAGAGAGGCAAGTCCAGGGACAGAGGGAGGCAGAAGTGGTCAGTGTGCTAAGGCAGTCTCCAGCCAGGAGAGTTTGCCTGAGACTGAAGGACTTTGCAGGACGTGAGACCATAGTGTTTAGTTTTAGACACTCCTGGGCAAACTCAGATTGTCACATGACCTTGGGCAAGCCAGTGCATTTCAGCCTCAGTTTCACCATCTGCAAAATGGGAATAAGTGTACTCATCTCTCATTGTTTGAGGCTTGATTATGATGAGTGAGCAGGAATGCAATGGCACAGTGGGGTCTTTGCTGTCACGTGAATACCTAGAATGGGTGGGCGGCCCCTCCTCCAAAGGCTTACTTACTCATCCATCATTAACTTTCCAATAATCTTGTTAGATATGGCACCGACCTCCACAGAAACGTTCGTGCTCTGCAAAGCAATGACCCAGATGACGAATCCCTTATCCAGAAGCCAGCCTCCCCCCTACCAATGATTCCAAACTCCCATGGTCCCTATCTCCAAAGGGTCCTTCACATCATGGGGCCAGATCCATAGATTCCATGGGGCAAGCAGTCCTCTCCCTTGGCGGAAAGTCTTGGGCTGTTAGCTAATTCTGGTTTCTTTTATCTGACTCAGGTACCACCTCGGAGCTCCCCATCACTTTCTGGAGGAGGTGTTGGAGGTGGAGAATCTTCACTCACTTATTCATTCAACAAGCATATTTATGCTTGAGTTAGAAACCTTTCCTTCTCAACTCTGCATGACCTTAGGCTAGTAACGCCTGCAGGATGCGTTTTTATCTTCCAAGTGGAAATGAATGGGTCTCAGTCCCAAACAGTGCAGACCTGCACTAACTACACTCGTAGTGGGAAGAGGGGCTGGACCAGTAGTCATGGCGAACGTGGTCAGATGTTAGTGGAATGATCAAGAGAGCACATGAATGAATGTACAAATCACAATGGAATGAAAATGTGAATAAATGGAAAACTAAACACAGACCTTGATGAATGAATGAACAAAGACATGCATACGTGAATGAATAAATGAGCAAATATGCAAATGAATGACTGATGGAACAAAGGTAGAAGTGAGCGGCTAAGTGAATAATTGGATAAATAAATGCATGTCTGAGCCGGGAGTAATGTAGTGTATATTTCAAGTCAGAAAGAGAATAAATGATTGAATGAATAAATGGATGAATGCATGAACAATTGCACAAATGAATGAATGATCAAAGATAGGCGTGAATAAATAAATGAAGGCACTAATGAATGATTGAATGGCCAAAGATATGCGTGAATAAATGAACACATATATGGGTAGGAAACAGGGCAAAATATTTCACATCAATGATGGAATGAATAATTGAACAATTTAAAAATTGAGTGAATAAATGAAAAATTGAGTGGATGAATAAGTGAATGAACATGTAAACAAGTAAACAATTGAATTAGGGAGGAGAGTGTGAAGGAGCCAGAGGCGACTGAATACAGTGGCTCCAGCTTGAATCTGGACAGGATTCGCTCCTGGGCTTTTGACCCTGTAGACAATGCTCTCGGCCTTGCCCAGGGCTGCTGTCACTGCTCAGGACCCAGGCTTTGACCACTTGCCCGTGTCTGGGGAGAACTTACCAAGCCAAGTTGGAAGAGAGGAGCCAGTGTGGAGTTGGGGAGGACAGCAAAGGCCTGGGCCTCCAATGCAGGGGTGAGGGCCAGCCTGGTGGGGTCCACAGTGAGCCGTGGTGGGGAGGACATGTTGATGAGGAGCTGAACCTTCAGGTCTGGGAACCTTTCAGCCACCTACAGACCCAGGTGGGGATGGCCAACAGTTGTTGTTATGTGCCGTCAAGTTGCCTGCCACTCATAGCGACCCTCTGTACAACAGCCCTAAACTCTGCTCTACCCTGTGCCAATCTTATTGTCTTCGACATGCCTATCCCCATTATCCCAGTGACGGAATCAATCCATCTCATTGAGGGTCTTCCTCTCCTGACCTGTCTCTCCATCCTCCCAAGCATGATGTCCCTCTCCAAGGACTGATCCTGCCTTACAACATGTCCAAAGTATGTCAGATGGAGCTTCAGAATCCTTGCCTCCAAGGAGCAGCCTGGTTTCACCCTCTCCAGGATGAACTTGTTTGTTCTCCTAGCAGTCCACTGTATATTCAGTACTCTTCTCCAGCACCACAGCTCAAAACGTCAGAATCCTATCAGGTCCTGTCCCTGCATGCACACCTCCAATGTCTTTCATTGCTCCTAGATTCAATCCAAATGGCTATTGATCTGGCACCTGCAACCCTGTCTACTTCACTCCAGGCCTCTCCCCTTGGTCAGCCCCAGGGAAGTCTCCAAACCATGTTTTCTTCCCTGCACTCTGTTCCAGCTCTCTGAAGGTTTGTCCCCACATTCCGGCTAAGGATGGCTCTTCAGATTTCCCCTCAACTGTCCTCAGAGAGCAGCCACGGCTTTAAGGGGGCACTGAGGAAGGCCTGGGAGATCCCCTTTATGTGCTAGCCTCAACCACTCACCAAGTTAATGCTTCATCAGAGTTTAAAAAAAGTGTTATGCAAATGAAAGCATCAACTTCAGAGAGATTCACACTTCCTTTTCTGTTTCATATACAACAATAACTGGAGGTACCACCACTGGAGACTTTAAGGAGATCTCATCAACCGTACTCCCATAGTCTATGACTCTGTTTTATTGTTTTGTGGCCCTGAATAACAGTGTTCTCTCTAAGATAGGTTGGGAGCCCGTGGAGGGCAGTTCTGTCCTGTTTGGTGTCCAGCACAGGACCCCAGGCACATGGTAGGGACTCATATATTTGTGTGGATAAATTAAAAAAACTACACTTGTGCCTAGTCAGTCAGCTCAGGACTGGAAGCATTTTTCCATGTGTGGGTGAGGGGCTGCAAAAACCCCGACTGCTATTCTCTTGTAGGGGCTGCTTCTAGATTTGGGGGGAGGGAAAGCTCATCAGGTCTCTCAGTAGAGCCCAGTATCCCTAGACCATCATGAACTGACTAAAGGAGGCCATGCCCTCATCTTACCTGAGGTATGAGGGTCCCAAGGAATTTGGTTGTCAATCGGAGTTTGGATTCCTTTGGAATCTGTCGCAAGAAAGGAGAAAAGGATCTTGGGGTGATGTTCTTATGGGTGGTGGGGGCAGATCCTGCATAGGGGAGGGGGAGATGTATGAGAGTGATTGAATGCACAAATGGATAACCAACCACTGACCGCTGACCTCTAACCTATGATCTCTGCTACCACACATCTAGGAAGACAAATCACAGTTTCTCAGCCCAGGATGGTCAAGCCCGGCTCCGTCATTACCAGCCGCTCCACAGCTTGTCCCCGAGTGAGCCAAATATGCTCCCTGTCACACAGCAGCATCAGAGGCTGGTTAAAGAAAAGCAAATGAAACTTATTGAGGGATAGAGATGGTCCAGATCATGGAAACCTCCAGTGCCTGATGGTGGGAAGGAATGCATTCTTGGAGTAGAAATTAAAGGCTACAAAGTTCCTTAGTGGCTGAAAAAAAAACCTTCTGGGGAGTTAAAGAGGATGTCCAGGACTGGGCAGTGATCGATACAGAGCGAGGTGTTCTGGTAGTACAAGGTGTTACATGTTGCAATGCTAACTCCAAGGTCAGAGGTTTGACTGCGCCAGCTTCCCTGGCAGGAGAGATGGACAGTCTTCTCCCATTAAGACGTACAGCCTCAGCATCATGACTGAGGGTCCCTGTGAGTGGAACGGGCCCAGTGGCATTGGCTCTGGCTTTAGACATAAGTGGGTTTACGTGATTGGTCAGTGGCACTTGCCATTCAGTCTAGTACAGGATGGTTTCAGGGCAGCAGCAGGACAGTTTATCTGGTAACCTATTAATAAAATTGCTTCCTCGATCATGTCTGTTTGTGTGGAGTCCACTGTAACAATCAATCAATCACATGGGTAGGTACCAAGATCCTTTGTGCACAAGCATCTATCTGACTATGATGAAAAAGGGTCGTAGGGGATTGTTGTTGTTAGGTGCCTTTGAGCTGACCGTAACTCGGAACCACCCTGTGACTAACAGATCTGAACCTTGTCCTATCTTGAGCTATCTTTATGATTTTCACCATGTTCAAGTCCATTGTGGAGGTCACTGTGTCAATCCAGCTCAGTGAGGGCCCTCCTCATCTTTCCTGTCTCTCGACTTTTTCTCGGCAGGATACCCTTTTCCTAAGAAAATGCCCAAAGTTTGTGAGACGAAGTTTCATCATCTTTCCCTCTAGGAGCATCCTGATTGCTCTTCCTCCAGGACAGGGTTATTTGTTCTCTTGGCAGTCCCTGGGATAGTCAATACCCTATGTTAGCATCATAATTCAAAAGCGTCAGTCCTTCAGTCTTTTGTATTAATTGCCCAACTTTCAGATGCATAGGGAGCAATAAAAATACCATGGCTTTGGTCAGGTGCACCTTACTCTTTAAATTGATATTCTTGCTCTTTAGCATTTTAAAGAGGTCTTTGGCAGCAGACTTTTCCCAATGCATCACGTCTTTTGAGTTCTTGACTGCTGTGACCAGGGGTGCTGCTTGTGGATCCAAGTAAAATGAAATAGTTGCCAACTTTAACATTTTCTCCATCTATCATAATGTTGCCTGTAATTCTGATGGTGAGGAGTTTTGTTTTCTTGTTGGTGAGGTGTAATCTGTGTTAAAGGCTATAGTCATTGATCTTCTTCAGTAAGTGTTTTAACTCTACTTTCTATAAGCGAGGTTGTGTCATCTGCCTAATGCAGGCCGGTGATGGGTCACATCAGTACAACCTCTGAGAAAAGGAACATTATCCTCAGGGTTTATGGCCTGGTTAGCACCAAGCAGCTTTTAAAAGCCCAGCATGGATTCCAGAGACATTCTGGAAGACTTTAAAATGTAGTTAAATGGGGGAAAAGTAAACAGACAAGGTGAGTGAAAGGAATAGAAATGCATAATAAGGTTTTGCTTAGACATTGTAACAAGTTCATTCCATCAACCAATGGTAATTACTGTCTATGAATGATTGTCTGAAAAAACACTCAAATGTGATTTGTAGACTTTTACTTAAATAAAATAGATTAAAAATAATATTCAGGAAAAATTATAATGGAGTCAGCCTTCGATACTAGCTCTTCCCTCCTCCACCCTCCAGCTTCGCCTTACCATGTCATCTGTGAGGATGAGCTTCAGGGCTCCAGCCTCTTGGTACACGAGTCCAGCAGTGTTGAAGAAGTAGTCAGAGACGCCCAGGTATACCATGAGGTTGTGGTCGGTGGGAAAGGCCAGTGTGGGTGGGCCAAAGGGAGGTGGGGTGCGCTGGGCCAGCCTGAAAAACTCCCCCTACGGGTGGAAGAGACAAAGGTGGGTGTGAGGAGGTTGCAGGAGGAGGCAATGCTTCGTTGCCCTATACACAGGGCTGCTGGGAGTCAGAATCGACTCACCACGTTTAATAACAACAACTCTAGGGCTTTTAAAAAGCACACTACTCGGGGGAGCTCTGGTGGCCTGGTGGCAAGAAGCTGCACTGCAATCCCAGAGGTGTGTGGTTCAAATCTACCAGATCCTCTGTTGGAGACGTAGAGGCAATCTCCTCCCTTACCAGTCAGATCTGATTTGATGGTACACACACAGAGAAATAATTAAATAAAATAATTTTTTTTTTAAAGTACACTGCTGGGGTGGGGGAGGGCTGGGCAAGGAGAAAAGTGCAACAATGAATGAATGGAAATCCAAGACCTCAGTAAATGCTCATTAAAATTAATAAAATTTTTTAAAAAAGGGACACTGCTTGACCTAGCAATTCCACTCCTAGGAAGGGAAGGATACAAGGATGAGCAGAGCTAAGGCTACAACCTCTAGTTTTGTATTCTCGTTACCACCAGAGAGCGCTAGCTACACAGTCCCCGGGGGAGTTTGGCTGCTAACCTAGAGACGATGTCTCTGGCGGTTCAAATCCACCAGCAACACCAAAGGAGGAAGACGGGCAATCTCTTCCTACGTGATTTGCAGTCTCTGAAAACACACTGAAGGGTCATCCCTGAGTCAGCTCCCACTTGATGACAGCGAGTTGACACCCAAGTATTGAGAGTACTTATCTCTGGAATGTAAGATATGGGTAGTATTTTCTTTCCTTTCTTCCCTCCATAGTTCTTTCTCGTCTGTAGTTTCTGAATGTTCTTTTATATCTTTAATTTACAGCTAAAGTGAAGGTTCTGGGGAGAGAGCAAGGGCCCCATGCAAAAGAATGGCAAGGAGCCCAGCATTACCTGGATGGAGAGAGGATGAAAGAAAAGCGCAGGCAATGGCAGAGAGGAAGTGAGGAGGGAAACCATCGGAAAATGTGTTTCTGAGGATGCTGGGGAGCCCGGGAGAGTGGGAGGGGATGTGGGAGGGGCGTGATTAGTGGTGGAAGCCTCACCTTCAGCTGCACATCCAGGTCGTCGTCTGTGGCCGTGGGAGGTGCCACCAGTGAATAATCAATTCCAGCCACAGCGTCTATTCTGGCTGTCACTAAAGGTAAAGGGATGGGCGGTGAGTTGGCTCTCCAGGGCAAGGCCCCTGGGGTCCGAGCTCAGAATCAGCGTCCCGGTGTGTGTAACCAGGAACTGCTGCGCCAGCTCCATTCCACCTCCTCCAGGGAGCCCTCTCTGAGTTTCTCATAAAGAAAAGCGAGGCTACATCCTGTATTGATGGATTTAATTTCAATCCCTCTTTCCATCAGCCGTAGGAAGGACACTTGGAATCGGCAGGCAGACAGTCCTGGGCTTGAATGAACGCAGACACTCATCTGCTGTGTGACCTTGAGCAAGTCCCTTTATTTCTCGGAATCTCTGTCATCTGTAAATTGGAGTAATACTGGCGAGCTCACTGGGCTTAAATGGGAAGGTGTATGCTAAGTACGCTGGATGGGGCTGAGACTCGAAAGTTGGGAGATGGTTGTTAGTAATGGTAACACCTGGTGGAGATCAGATCCCAGGTGCTTCTCTTTCCCAACAATAACCAATTAGAACGAAGTAAATGCTACATTCTCCCTTACTGTTTTCTTTCCATGTTAAACCAAAAGAAAAAAAATCCAAATCACTTATTGTCAGTTTGATTTCAACTCTCAGTGACTCCATGTGTGTCCCAAAGGGTTTTGGTGATTGTGAGCTTTTGGAAGCAAGTTGCTGGGCCTTTCTTCTGTGGCACTTCTGAGTAGGTTGGAACTGCCAAGTTTTCTGTTTGCTTCATTGCCCAGAACTCTTCCTTCCAGTGTTGGAAGGGAAGAAACTGAAGCTCAGAAACTATGAGTTGTTCAAGGTGGCACAGCTGGAGTGGTGCAGCTTCAACTCAAACCAAAATTGTCTTCCTACCTGATGAGAAAAAAACCCTTGGGTCCTATAACTGTATGGAGTGTGCACAGGATAGGCCTCTGACCCTGGTGGGTTTTGCAGGAAGAAAACACATGTCACATGGGCACACAGCACGTGTCCACAATGCCAGGTTCCAGGAGAAGGCACCCAGGGTACCACTTCCGGGCACAGGTTCTGGAGTAAGAAAACCTTGATTTGAATCCTGTTCTGTCCCTTGCAAGGAGCCCTGGTAGCGTAATGGGTCACATGCTGAGCTGTTAACTGAAGGGTTGGCAGTTAGAAACCATCAGGGGCTCCTTAAGAGAGAGATACTGCAGTCTGCTCCTGTTAAGATTTACAGGAGCCTCGGAAACCGCTGGAGGATTGCCATGAGCCAAAACTGATTCCACAGCAGTGGATGAGGCTTGGTTGCTGGGTTCTGCTGCCTTTGTAAGCTAGCACAAGCCACAGAGCCTCTCTGGGCCTCAGTTTCCTCAGGCCAAATAGGAAACAATGCAAAGAAGAATCAGCAAACAAATGTAAGGCGTCCTTTAAGATAAAAGATTCTGGTGCCAGGCAGGTGGGCATATTGGGAAGCTGAAAGGAGATCACGGCCTTGAACACCTGGCAAAGGGCGAACCCTCAGTTAGGAGGTGTTGTTCCTGAGGCACTTTGACATTTACCAAGTGCTTGGCGATTGTCCTCATTTTAAAGATAGGAAAACTAAGGCTCAGAGATAAGTGAGCAGCTTCAAGTCTCCGGCCAGTCACGTGGCTTTGGCTTCAGAGAGGGGGAATATCTGGGTTTCTGCCGTGGAGGAGACTGTATGGAGGTGTCTCTTAGAATTGCTTTTCTGTCACTATTCTAAGCCTGCCACAAGACCTGCTTGGGAGGAATTCAATGCCAGCTACCTTTTGGGAAAAAAAAAATGTACTTCCCATCTTCAGACCCAGGCCTATCTTGGAAATTTGCTGACTCCATCACTCCCATCAACCCTATCTATTTTTCTAGTTCTTTCTCCATTCTATTCCATCCTTCATTGACCCCCACTTGGTCCTTACCTGGCAGAGTCTGGAGATAAGACTGCACCTGAGAGGACACAGTTCTGGTCACTGCTTCGCAGATCTGGGGAGAAGAAATGATCAATGAGAGCTCCACATAGTGGGAAATGCCCTTCACGAATAGTAAGTAGCAGGGCATGCTTTGCTTTCCTTGAATGTCTCCTTGAAAATCACATGCCTAAGCAAGTTTTTCTTTTCTCTTTGGCTGTCAGGCAGCTCAGGACCAAACATACCATTTGAAAATAATAACTGTATATAACAATTATACGCTGTTGTGTGTACCATCAAGTTGCAATTGATCCATCATAGCTGACCCTCCGGCAGCTTTTCAGCAGCAGTTAACCACGTGTGACTTCAAAGGGGAGGCCATGAAAGGCTGTGTGGGACTAGAACCCTCTGGTTGCTCCTTCTTGGAACCCATCCTTCAGTCTGTGAGAAGCCGAACCACACAGAGAGGGCATGTGCATAAGCTGATCCGTTGTTCCAGCTCAGCACAGCCTCAAGTCACCCAGCCCAGGGACCAGACACCTGAGAGAGGAACCTTCCAGGTGATTCTAGTTCGAAGCTTCGGAGTCTTCTCAGGTGAAGGCCGCTAACTCATGGAACAGGGACAGACGAAGCCATTCCCACTGAGCAGCCCCATTTCCTGACCCATAGAGCCCATGGACATTATGACATGGCTGTTGTATTAGGACACTAAGTTTAGGGCTGTGTGTTTCAAAGCAAAGGACAGCAGGAACAAAGAGTTAAAATGACAGCTGCCTCTAACCGGAAGGTACTGAGGCTTAGCGCCGTGTTCAGGTGAGCCGTGTCTTCACCCTCCCAGCATTGCACAAACACCCTCCAACTCGCTAATCCAACTGACCTTGTTGGGTCCTTGCTTTCTCGACTGTAAAGCAGGGCTTGGCACAGATGCCCACTCTCTCTTTTAAAAGTGCTCCTTCTAGGACCATGACTCTCTAGGTTCTGTTTGCATTCTAACTCCTGATTGCCATCGAGTCAATTCCAACTCATTATGACCCTATAGGGCAGCTGGAGAATTGCCCCGTGGGGTTTTCAAGGCTGTACTCATCCTAAAGCTCTGGTGGCCTAGTGGCAAGAAGCTGCACTGCAATCCCAAAGGTGTGTGGTTCAAGGCCACCCGCTGCTCTGTGAGAGAAGAATGGACATTCTCCTCTCGTGCAATTAACTGGAGGGTGCAATTAACCAGAGGGTCAGCTATGGGTCGTTTCTGACTCTACAGCACACACCACCACCACCAATCATTACAGAAGCAGATTCTGACATCTTCAGGGCAACAGCAGGGGTTGAACTGCTGTCCTTTCAGTGAGCAGCCAGAAGCTTAACCACCGTGCCACCAGGGCTCCTGCCTGTCCCTGCTATCTCTGTAGTCGCTCTTCTCCTAGAGGTCTAGAAGGAGCATTGCTCTGTGGGCCACTCTGCCCTCGCTGTACATGCTGGTGCCTTCCCTCAGGGCTTCTCGGCTTCCTGCTCCTTCCGCTCTCTACCCTCATTTTGAGCCGTTTCATGCACTCATGTCTCCCTAGGAAGCTCTGGTGGCCTAGTGGTAAGGAGCTTCGCTGCCAGCTCAAAGGCACATGGTTCAAATCCATCAGCTGCTCCACAGGAGAATGACAGGCAAAACTCCCATGTGGTTTACTGTTTCTGAAAACCTGCTGGAAGATTAGCTGTGAGTCCATTTTGTCTTGATAGTAAATGTTAATAACAACAAAAACAACAACATGCCCCCCTGTAGAAGACGCACTTGATGCCCCACCCTAATCCACACAGTGTGAACTGCTTCCCGACACACCGTGGCTTCCTGCCCTGGGCTCCTGCCCCTAGTTCCCTTCCTCTGGGTTTTCTGTAGCAACTTGACCAGAATGGCTCAGAAGTGCCAAGTTGTCAAACAAAACCCCTGGGATCAGCCCTCAATCCAAGAGGGGTAAGAAATGGTATTTAAATACCTTCAACTTTTTTTTATCCCATTTGGGACACTTCTGAGGTGTCCTCCATACATTTCTTCTTTGAGTCCTCAGCAGGAATGAACCTCAGGACTTCACAGCAGTCCCTCCCTCATTCTTGTTGTTATTGTTTCTACGTGAAGCCCATCATGGCTTCACAGTGGACTCACAGCTGACTCTCTAGTGGGTTTTTCAGAGTCTCTAAATCACATTGGAGGAGAGTGCCCATCTTTGCCCTGCAGAGCAGCTGGTGGATTCGAACTGCTAGCCTTTCAGTTGGCTGCACAGCTCCTTACCCACTAGGCCACCAGCATTCCATCCTGCCCTCATTAATTAATGCCCCATTTTCTGTCTTCTTTCTTCATGTTCTCACAAATCTTTTTTCTAAATAAATAATTTACACTCCGATCGTTGTCTCAGCGTTTGCCTCGAGGATTCTCAAGCAAAGGTCCCTTCTCCACTCCCCATATATGAAACCAACACCCAGGCTTGGCTCTGCAGGCCACTCTGTCCCTCTGAGTTCCAACATAGGGACTTTACTGATGTCTAGACAGTGTCCATGAATGTTGGCCTCCCAAGTCCAGCACATCCCAAATCAGACTCCTCAGGGTCTCCGGCCCCTCAGGGCTGGTCCCAACCCTGCCCAGAGGTCAGCTCCACACTCATCTCCCCCTCCTTCTCCACTTTCAGTCAAGTTATTTTATCAAGTGAGCGAGGCAGAAGAAAAGAAAAAGAGGTGGAAGGGAGATTTGGAAGGAAGAAAAAAAGTTGATTTCCTCCAGTGTGTTTCTATCACCTCAGACTCTAGTTCACAAAAGAACTCAGAACATCATTCTTTGAGGAAATTGTCCCTTCTTCACGTGACCCAGGGATGGGAGGAACAGCAGGAAGGCAGTTGGTCTCCATTGGACACTGAGGCTCCCATTGGTTCCCACCCTCCCATACCATTCACCCATCAGAACCACCAGATGGCTCCAAACCACAGCAAATCACAGCCAGAGGCCCTGGCTCCTTCTCCCTTTCCGTGGACACCTGCATATACACCCTACACAGAGTCAGACTCCTGCCCTCAGAGGCTAAGCCTTGAATTTGCATGGGCAGGAGCCTTAGGAGAGGATCCAAGGTGGGCTCCTGGGCATATGCAGGACTTTGGGCTGTGTGGTGTGACCGTCATTCTTGGTCTCTCCGTGGAATCATCAGTAAAGTCGCCATGACTGGCTTTTAGAGCCACGTTTGGCTTGGAATCATGAGGGCTGAGGACACCCAGAGCCTCTCCTGCTCTGACCCTGGATGACCCCTGAGCCCCGCCTACCTTGCTGTTCATGGCCTTTTGAAGCGAAGACTCAATTTTTTTGTGGAAGAGTTGGATCAGCCACCTGGAGAGAGACACATGAAGAGGACATAAATGAGGCTTCCAGGGACGCTGAGTGAATCAGGAAGCCACCTTCTCTTTCTCCCTCTGTCCTGCACAAAGACCTGAGTACCCTGGTCTCCAAGTGCGTGAGGTGACCTGTGTCTATGGGGTTATTCACTCAGGGTTTCTGCCTGAGTGTCTCATTCCTCATCTCATGGGCTAGTTGTGCTTTCCAACCACACTGACCTGTCAAGGCCTCTTCCTATCACAGGACCTTTGCACATGCTCTTTCCTCAGCTTGAAACACTCCCCCGTCTCCAGTATCTACACACTCAGCTCCTGCTTAGCATTTTTACCTCAACTCAAATGCCATTTCCTCGAGGGAAGGACGGGGAGCCCCCAGAGTGGATCAGATCTCCCTGGTATTTTCTTGCAACACCTCACACCTCTTCTTTGTTCTTAGGTCCCTTTGTAATTATCTGAGAGCCATTTAACAACATAATGACTGGTTAGCATCTGTCTTTTCATTGGACTGGAAGTTGGAGGAGAGCTGGGTCTGGGTGGTAAGAGTCTGGGGCCAGATGGTGTTGGGTGTGAATCTTTCCTGAACACTCATTTTGTTATGGAAACCTGAGTTATTTTCTATCCTCTCTGTTCTTCAGTTTTTGAAAATGGGACAATAAAAGATCAGCCTCACAGAAGCCATCTAGATAAAGCAGTACTTGGCAAGGAGTTCAAGTCTCCAATAAATTCTTAGTAGTCACTTCTATTTCCTAAGTACTTTGTAAAAGCCTGGTGAGTAGCTTACTATTGTAAGGGGCCGTCAAGTTGACTTTTTGACTCATAGTAACTCAATGTGACAGAACAGAACCGCCATGTAGAGCTTTCTAGGCTGTGATGTTCACAGGAGCAGATTGCTTGGTCTTTGGAGCCACTGGATGGGTTCGAACCACCAAACTTTTAGCTGGTAATTGAGCTCCTAACCATTGTACCACCAGGATTCCTTCAGTTCATAGCAGTCTTAGCTATATATTGGAGAGATGGAGGAATGACTTCAAGTCTGTGGTAAGGATTTTATAATTTTGTGCATATCAAGTACTTAGCCCAGAGCCTGGGGCATAGGAAGTGTTCAGGGCGTTCTGCTGAATTAATTTGAACAAGTTACACCCAGAGGTAGGGACCGTGTAGGAAGCTTATTGGTGCACCACCTGCTGCTTCCTGCACCTGTGTCTTTACTCTGCTTAGACTTGCTGAAGACAGGGAGGATAGAACAGTCGTCCTCAAGGGCCCTCCCCCTTGCCGGCCATGGAAGATCGTACCCCAGTCTGCTGCCCGAGATGTCCACATGCACGCTGTTGATGTTACTCTTGCAGCTGGAGCAGCCAATGGTGGCGTGTCCTGAAGTGGGGTCGCTGCCCAGCTTCAGATCAGCTGAGACAGAGATGCCCTCTATTCTCAGGGCAAAGTTACCACTAGCTTTGCTGGAGGAAAACAAAGAGAAATGATTGACATCAAGTACTTTACTCTTTATCATCCTCTACTTCCATCCACACTTCACACCAAGGCCAGAGAGTAAATTCGGCTCTCATCTCTACTCCAGGTGAGGAAGTAAAGCTCAGAGAGGGAAGGCTGTTTACCCAAAGTCACACAGCAGCTAAGAATTCCAACCTGAAATCTGAGCCCTGCTCTTAACCACTGCCTTTAGCCTGTTGCTATGTAACTTTGGATATGTTTCTTAACCTTTCTGATCTTTAGTTTTCTCACCACGACCCTGGCCCTGCAGTGGGACACCAAGTTTTGCCACTAAAATGCTGGGTGACTTGGGGCCAATTTCTTAAATGAGTGAATTAATACATATCCTAGTTAAAGGCATTAATAACTCTTTACTCAGGGATGAAGAGAGGATTGGATAAGACGGTGACCATCAATCTAATTTTGTCAATTTTTCTATCATATAATAAATATAGAGATGTGTTTGTATTTTGTCTAAGTAAATGATAATTAGTAAAATGATAGATTGATAGACGTATAAGAGCCTGCTTAAATATTAAGCAATTTTGTGAGACAAATTCAGTAATTCTTATACGTGAGGGAATATCCTTCCATCCTTTAAGATTTCCAATGAAGAAGAAGTTGCTAGAATAACTGGTCAGCCTGAGTCATCTTGTAAGCGGGTAGGGTGTCTATTGTGAATGCCTAGTATTTATAGATTATTTATAGATTCAGAGTGGGAGGTCAGATTATTTGCATGCATATAAATTCCATAATTCATCACTGGTGGAGTGTATGTCCTTTACTCTTGAGTTTGACCACATGACTTGCTTTCACCAATATCAATATCAGTAGAAGTGACCATGGGTCATTTCTGAGCCTAGGCCTTAAAAGATATCCTTATGTTTCTGCAAACTCTTTTTTCACATCTCTCTGATCACAAGGGAAGAACATGTCCTGGATAGCTTAGTGGTCCAGGGAGAAGGATGAGATGCACGTGAAATTCTATGTGAGCCCAAGTCATCTAGCTGAGCTCCAACCAACACACAGATTATGTGTCTCTGAAGAGCAGAAAATGGTACATGGAGGCACAGGGCTGTGAGTGTCTTTCTGAAAATGCCAGAAGGAATAAGAATAGCACAGCCCCTCATGGCCCTAGAGCAGAAAGCAGATCAAGAGCCCATAGCCCAGCCCCATGGTACCTCTAGAACCACACCAACAGAAAGAAGTTCATTTATTCATTGCTGACTCACAGACTCACAATTATGGTACTGAGAATGGGATTTATTAGGGAAGTAAGCTGGATAATGGGAGATGCAAAGATTATCTCCCACAAGTTCAGGTGTTAGCCCATCAGTTCCAAGGTGCAATTCCTCAATTTGTCCAGGCTCTGGTTTTAGTTCAGCCATCAAATCCAAATTATCCAGCATGGTTTGTCTCAGAGCAGTTATAAATCAGCCTTTCCTTCAATTATCCGGCAACAACAGCAAAACCCTTTAACCGAGGTCTTTATCTCAGGACTCCTCTGCTTACATCTTGCCACCGCTTCTCCATAGCAATGCTACAGTCTCTCCACCACCATCACCAGGGTTTCACCATCAAGGTCTTGCTCTCAACAGTCTTGTTCCAGTCTCCCTCAAGTCTTGCTGCTCAGTGCAGAAAGCACTTTTTCTCTTATTCTAGTCCTTCAGCTTTTGGTGATTTGCAAGACCATGTGCCTACATTTAAGGTAGCTGGAGACCAGAGGGGCTAACTGTAATGCCTAAATAAAGAAGCCAACTTTTAGGCTAACACTACAATGTGTAGGTGAGTATATAGAATTGATGTTTTAGGATGCTGAATTTAGGATGATTTCTTATAGAGCAATAGACAGCTGTTGTTGTGAATCATGGAGTTGATTCCAACTCATAGTAACCGTCTAACACACAGCAGAACTGTCCATCGCATTTTCTAGCCTATAGTCTTTACGAGAGCAGACTGTGCGTTTGAGTCACCGACCATTCAGTTAGCAGCTGATGCTTCATTACCACACCACCAGGGCTCCTTAGCTTACTGATAAATCAAATGCATTACTGTCAAGTCGATTATCATTCATAGTGACTTTCCATTGGGTTTCCAGAGCTGTAAATCTTTGTCAAAGAAGACTGCTTTACTGTTCTCCTTTAGAGTAGCTGGTGGATTAAAATAATTTACCTACTGTTTGTTGTTTTGTTGTTGTGTACCCTTGAGTTGGAACTGACCCATATTTGACTCTCTGGTGGGTTTTCAGAGGCAGTTAATCACATGGGAGGAGATTACCCATCCTTCTTCCACAGAGCAGCTGGTGGATTTGAATTGTGTGCCTTCAGGATTACAGTGCAGTTTCTTGTCACTAGTCAAATAGAGTTCCCTGTTACTCACCTATTGTTTAGTAACCCAATATATAATACTACTATGGTCCTTTAGATTGCTGATAAAAAGGACTAATTAAAGATCTTTCAGAGGGCTCTGATAGTGTAGTCCATAGGAAGTAGTGCTGCTAATCCAAAGACTGGGCCTCTCAAGAGGTTCGAATCCACCAGAAGGTCCAAGGGACAGATAATCTTCTCTCATTTGATTTGCAGCCTTGGAAACCTGTTTGAGGGTCACCTGTGAGCTGGTTTCAACTTGATGGCAATGAATTGAGTTTATCTGAGTTGTTTGTATTCCATCCAAAGTTACACGCTCTCATTCAATCTTGCTAGAGTGTTGTGCTGAGGTGTCGGGAAAATCTTGCTAGAGTCTTGTGCTGAGGTGTCGGGAAAATCAAAGATTATAGAACTCTTTTCACGTGAAATATTCTCTAATTCCCTCAAGACCCCTATAGGAAAAAGTAGTAAGGAGGAAAGCAAAATTTAGGTATTTTTAGGATCTTGGCTTTAGTCCTCCCAAGAACTCACCCATATATATGCCCAACAATCCTGAGTAGGAAAACTCACATGAAATCTTTTTTTGCCTTCCATTTGCCACTCATCTTGACATTGGCATTGCTGATGGAGAGTTTAAGGCCCACACCGGGCACCAGTCTTATCTGGGAACTGGGCAGCTGGAACGTGTTGATAACCATGCTGTGAAGGAGATACTCTTAGTTAGGCTCCTGAATGACCATGTGAAGACAATTCCGTTAATGCAGGCTCTTTTCCCCACCCCCATCCCTGGATCTCCATCTCACCCATCCCACGAAAACCCAGGAGCTAGGAGGGTGGCCTTAACATAGTCACTATAGTGCATTTTCCAATGATGCTTTACATTAGGCTAATCTGCTGTAAAAGATTGTTTCAGAGTGTTAAAAAGGAAAGATGTCACTTTGAGGGCTAAAGTACATTTGAACCAAACTGTATATAGTATTTAAGTTCTGTTACATGCATGCAAAGCTGGACAAATAAAAAGGAAGAAGATTTAATATTGGGGAAGAATATTAAATATGTCCTGGAGCACTAGAAAAATGAACAAATCTGTCTTGGAAGAAGTACATCAGAAGGCTTCTTAGAAATGCAAGTTGCAACACTGTGAATTTGTTATCAGGAGAGACCAGTCCCTGGTGGAGAGTCAGTGGAAAGACAAAGACCCTCAACAAGCTGAACTGACACAGTATCTGCAACAATGGGTTCAGACATGGCAGTGGGTGTGAGCATGGCGCTGTACTTGGCAAAGGTTTGTTCTATTGTGTATAGGGTCGCCTTGAGTCAGGACTGATTCAAAGACACTCAACAACAACGACAAGACTTGTAATCTATGATCATGAAATGTCTTTCCATTTTTGTGGGTTGTTATGTGTCGTTGAGTTGCTTGTGACTTATAGTGACCCTATGTACAACAGTCCTAAACTCTGCTCTGTCCTGTGCCAATCGCACTGTCTCTGACACACCCATCCCAATTATCCCAGTCACTGAATCAACCCACCTCATGGGGGGTCTTCCCCTCCTGCGCTGTCCCTCCACCCTACCAAGTACAATGTCCTTCTCCAAGGACCTTTCCCTCCTTGCAATATGTCCAAAGTATGTTAGACGGAGCCTCAGAATCCTTGCCTCCAAGGAGCCACCCGGTTTAACCCTTTCCAGGATGAATCTGTTTGTTTTCCTAGCAGTCCATGGTATCCTCAATACTCTTCTCCAGCACCACAGCTCAAAGGCATCAATTCTCCTTCTATCCTCCTTAGTCATTGTTCAACTCTCTGATGCATAACAAGTGATTGCAAAGACCACGGTCTGTATCAGACGCACCTTGGTCTCCAAAGAGACACAATTGCTCTTCAGTACTTTGGAGAGGTCCCTAACAGCAGACTTTCCCGGGGCAATATGTCTTCTAATTTCCTGGCTGCTGGTGCCGAGAGTGTTGACCATGGAGCCAAGCAAACTGAAGCTATGAACAATCTCAATCTCTTCACCATTCATCCTGATGCTGCCAATTGGTCCAGTGGTGAGAATCTTTGTCTTCTTGACATTGAGCCTCAATCTATATTGGAGGCTGCAGTCCTTGAACCCTCTGCAGCAAGCACTTCAGGTCCTCCTCTTGGAGTAGTGCTTTATCATTTTCCATATCAGTCTTTTATAACCTTAGGTTTGTTTCTATGTATTTATAAACCTTAGCTTCATTCCTAAGTATTTTATCAATTTGAAGCTATGGCAAAATTGTATTGTTTTCTTGATTTCTTTGGTAGATAGTTTGTTAGTAATATAGAGGAATCCAGCTGGTTTTGTGTGTTGATCTTATATCCTGCATGTTGCTAAATTCTTCTATTAATCCCAGCAGTTTTCTAGTAAAAGCTTCAAGATCTTCTAGGTATAAGATCATGTTATCTGCTAATAGAGAGGGTTTTATTGCTTCCCTTTAGATATCGTTTATTTTCCTTTCATGTCTTATTGCTCTGGCGAGGGCTGCTAGTACAGTATAAAATGAAAGGTCCTGACAATGAGTAGTCTTGTCTCATTTCTGTTCTCAAAGTGAGAGCTCTCAGCATTTTTCCTGATGAGTGTAATACTGGTTGTTGGTTTTACTCTTGGTTGAAAAGTTTTCCTTCTATTCCCATTTTGCTGAGAATTTTTAATGAGAAAAGGTGTTGAATTTTATTGAATGTCTCTTCTGTGGCAATTTATATGATCATATGAATCATTCCTTTTGTTTTATTATGTGGTGGACTATACCAATGGCCTTACTAATGCTCAATCACCTTTTTTGTTTTTACATGAATCACACTTGATCATGGTGGGGTATTTTTTGTTTATTATTTTTAAAAATAAATTGCTGAAGTTAGTTAACTACAATTTTGTTAAAAAGTTTTGCATCTTAAGTTCTTAAGGGATATGCGTCTGCTTGCTTTTTTTTTTTTAATGTCTTTTCCTGGGTTAGGTATCAGAGTTATACTGGCTTCATAGAAAGACTTCTCTTGCGTTCCTTCCTCTTTGATGTTATTTGTATTTTAGTGCTTCATATTTTCTTCTTTTGAAAATTATGATTTTTTTGTTTTCATTTGTATTTGGCTGCTTTCTTATGATAAGCTTTTCTGCTTTTCTCTTATTTTCTTGTGAATGTTTTTTCTTAGCGATTATCAAAATTGGTACATTATATTATACAATTACATTGCATAACTTACAACTACAACATTTACCATATGGACAACAGTTAACATAAAATCGTAACATAATAAATTTATTCCTGATATGCTCCTTCTTCCGTTTCTATTACTGTCTCCATTAACACATATATTTTATAATATATACACAACCTCTATTTGATAAGTTTATTTTGTACTTATTTTCCACAAATGTGACAATGTATTGTTTGTGGGGTCTAGTTACTGAGTTCATGACATATTTTGGTCCTTACTTATGATTGCATGTGTTATTGTATTTTTTTAGAGATTTCTTTATCCCTTATTATTTATTTATTACCTCCATGAATACTTATGAATAGTTATTTAATTCTCTTGCTTTCTCGTTTGGCACACCTCTTTAGTCTGGCAGTTGCAAATTCCCAGAGCTTCTGTTTGTTGGAACATGTCTTGATTTCTTCTTTGTTTTTGAATGGCAACTTTGCTAGCTAAGGAAATCTTGGTTGGCAGTTTTTTCCATTTGGTATTTTGTATATATTACTCTATTGCTTTTCTGGCCTACAGAGTTTCTGGGGAGAAATCTACTCTGATTCTCATGAAAGCTCTTAGGTATGCTAGGCTACATTTTTTTCTTATTGCTTTCAGAATTCTATCCTTGTCTTTAGCTTTCAAGAATTTTATTAGAACAGAGTATAGTTGTACTTTTTGTGTTTCTCCTCTTTGGAGTGTGTGTAGTTTCCAGAATTTTAAGGCTGGTTTTCTGTTCAGGTCCTAGAAATTCTTTCTGATCATCTCCTGGGAAATGAATTTGATGCCTTTACCATTGTTATGAAGCTCTGGTGGCCTAGTGATAAAGAAATTGCAGGCACATAGTTTGAATCCACCAGCTGCTCCACAGGAGAAAGACAGACAATCTCCTCCCGTGGGATTTACTGACATTGAAAACTAACTAGAAAGCTGTGAGTTGGTTCCAACTTGACTGCACACAACACCACCATTGTCAATGTGCTCTGGGGTTCCAATAATTATAAAGTTTAAATTCAAATGCATTGTCACAAAGGAGGTTCTGTCTCAAAGCAACCTTCCTTTGGGCTTCCAAGCCTATAAATCTTAATGGGAGGAAACTGCCCATTCTTCTCCTGTGAAGACACTGGCAGATTCAAATTGCTGGCAAATGTGGTATTTTAGTTAGCAGCATAATTTGCTACAGACTACAACATCAGAAAGCCATTATAATGTTAGAATTCTTAATGGAATCCTTTAGTTCCTTTGGGATTTGTTTACTTTTGTTATTCTCGTTTCTTTTGAGACTGGATAAGTTCAGTTATTTTTATCTTCTACTTCTTTTATTCCATTTTCTGTTTGACTCTGATGTTGAGGGTTTTTCTAGCTTTTCTTTTTCAGTGGTTTTATTTTCAGTTCCAGTAATTCTCTCTGTCTAGTTTTAGTGTCTTCATTTAGTCTTTCATTTTATCCCTCCACTGTTGCATGATTTCTGCTTCCGCGACACACTTTGTGCTGTTTGTTTTCTTTGTGCATAGTTAGCACCACAGTCTAAAAATTATCAATTCTTTCCATTAGTCTGATCTCTATGAGAGAAATTTTCTTCTCTTCATGTTTTGCTTTGGCTTGGTCATTCTTCTCTTAGGGTTTTCTATGCTTGATACGTTCTGTTGATGTAGGCATTTTTTTTCCACTTTAAATTTTATATTCTATTTTTGTGGGGCTTGTTTTGGGTTTTTTTTTTTCAGATTAGGTAGAGAGGTGACTCAATGGCCAAGTTTCTAGCTGCCAGTCAAGCCCACACCCACCAGCTACTCCACAGGGGAATGACATAGATCCTCACAGCCCTGGGAACCATCAACCTTCTTGGTTAGTAGGCAAGCATGTTAACCATGACATCACTTAAAGACCCCTGGTAGCCCCAGAATGCGACAAGTTCTGCATATTGAGGGTTTAACGTTCAAAAGTCTCACCTGTAAAAACTGTAATATCCCTTTCCTAAATGCTTGATCTTAAAGCTTCCTGAAAAATCAGGAATCTTGATCTTCTCCAGTTCCTTCTGAAGAATGGCCATTCCTTCCTGGCAGGCTAAGAGGAGAAGGCAGAGTGGAAAGAGTCAGAAAGCAACAATGAACCTGGACAGGTGGGTTAGGGGCAGCTCTGGGCTCTTGGCTTTTGTTCATAGCAGAGACATTCAGGGCCCTGCCTTTGAGATAGGAATGGAGGAGTCTAATAAAATAGATTCCCCTAAAAAAAATAAATAAAATAGAGATCCTCTTACACTTTCTGTAAAGGGCCATACAGTTAAATATTTTAAGCTTTATAAGACAGTATGACTCTCTATATATTGAAGCTCAACATCAAGAAAACAAAGACTCTCTACCATCTCACCCCAGTCACAATTGCAAAATTTAACAGAATAGCAAGCAACAAATAGTGATGAGGTTGTGGAGAAACTTGAACCCTTATTCACTGTTGGTGGGAGTGTAAAATGGTGCAGCCACTGTGGAAGGCAGTATGGCTCTTTCTCAAAAAGTTGCAAATAGAGATACCATTTGACCCAGCAATTCCACTTACTGGGAATATACCCCAAAGAGACCATAACTTACATCCAAGCAGATATATGCACACCATGTTTATTGTGGCTTTGTTCACAATAGCAAGGAATTGGAAACAACCTAAGTGCCCATCAACAAACAAATGGCTAGAGAAGCTGTGATATATTCACACAATGGAATACTATGCTGCATTGAAAAACAAGGAACTCATGCAATATTATTCAAAATGGGTGACCTTGGAGGACATTATGCTGAGTGAAGTATCTCAGTCACAAAATGACAAATACAGCATGTTGCCACTGTTGTAAAACAGGACTGACCTTGAGGTTGGGGAGAGACTGAGAAAGGTGGATTCAATAATGTATACTGTGTTGAAACAGATGAGGGAGAAAATGGTTTAAAAGGGATATGTGATTAGGTATTTTTGTCATGACAGGAGTCTAGAGCGAAGGCTACATGGTGGAGTGGGCCTGGGGGAGAGTTTGTAAAACAATGAAATAATTTTGCTTTTATTTTTCCAAGAAGTTAGTATACTAGGGGGGAGGGTTGGGAAGGGAGAAAAGTACAACAATGAATGAATGGAGATTAAAAAAAAGAAAAAGAAAAGAAAACAAAGACTCTCAGCACTGGGCCGATAGGCAGCATTATGATAGACGGTGAAGAGACTGAGATTGTTAACAACTTTAGTTTGCTTGGCTTCACAATCAACACTCTTGGTACCAGCAGCCAGGAAATCAAGACATGAATTGCATTGAGAAAGTTGGCTGTCAGGGACCTCTCCAGAGTACTAAAGAGCAATGACATCAGGGTGAAGACTAAGGTGCACCATAGTCTTTGCAATTGCTTTCTATGCATCAGAGAGTTGAATAATGACTAGGGATGCTAGAAAGAGAATTGATGCCTTTGAGCTGTGGTGCTGGAGAAGAGCTGTTGACTATACCATGGACTGCTAGGAAAACAAACAGGTTTGTCCTAGAGAGGATGAAACCAGTCTGCTCCTTGAAGGCAAGGACTCTGAGGCTCCGTCTGACATACTATGGACATTTCACAAGAAGGGACTTGTCCTTGTGGAGAGACATCATGCTTCGAGGTAGAGGGATGGAGAAAGAGAGGGAGACCATTGATGAGATGGATTGGTACAGTGACTGAGATAATGAGGGTTGGTGTATCAGAGACAATAAAGTTGGCACAGGATAGAGCAGGTTTCAGGGCTGTTGTACATAGGGTTACTATGAGTTGCAAGTGACTTGACAGCAAATATCAACATGACTAAATCCTAGTCCAACATTCTGCTCCAACTATTCAACGTTGCTGTTGTGGTACAAAAGCAGCCATAGACAACACATAAAGGCATGAGCATGTCTCTGTGCCAATAAAACTTTATTCATGGACATTGAATTTTTAATTTCATGTCATTTCTAAGGGTTGTGAAAGAAATTTTTCTTTTTATTTTTCTCTTAACCATTTAGAAATAGAAACTATCTTAGTCCAAGATGGTAGCTTAGTCAAATGGCTTGTGACACACTTCTTGTAACAAAGACATAAGAAAACAAGCGAGTTATAAACAGGAGACAATTTTGAAACCCTGAGCATTAAAAGCAAGGCTGAGCGTTATATGCGGAATCATCAAGAGCAGTAATTTATGTGTTACCAGAATTCTAGAATAGGAAGAAACAACAACAATAAAAGCACAGAAAAGTTTGTTCATGATTTGTTGGCAGAAAACTTCCCTAATACTATGAAAGGCAAGAGGATACTCATTCAAGAAGCTTAATGAACACCAAATGGGATAAACTCCAAAAGTAACCAAACTTTCTAAAACCAAAAGCAAAGAGAAAAAAAAATCCTGGGAAAAACAAGATATTATTTACAGAGGAAACCAGTAATACTGCTCTCTGACTTCTTGGAACAAGCCATGCAGGGAACACCACTATTGTATGGTATATATGATAAAGCTCTGAAAGGGAGGGAAAATGCTAAGAAAAATAATTATGCCCAGCAAAATTATCCTTGAAATATAACAGGAAAGTGAAATCATTTCTAGGCAGTCAGACGTGAAGGAACTTTGTGAAAATGAGAGAAATTTAAAAACAATGCTAAAGAAAGTATGCTTCACACCAACAATGTCAGATTAACAACTTGAGATTAAATCACATGACAACATTATCTGGAACTCACTAAAGAATTTTCAACATTTTAAAAAACCCCACAAGACTGAAAATAGGAACCCAATGATGCCAATCTGTCATTGAAGGCAACTACAAAACAAAAAGAGGGAATCAATGGTGCTGTTACAAAACTTCCAGCAGACAGAAAGTCAACTCAATATTGGGATAGAACAGAATTTTTTAAACTTAAGAAGAAAATGATAGAGTCACTACAAAGAAAATGGATAAACTTTCTAACCAAAATAAAACAAGAAGAAAATAATAAGACTCTGTAAACATAACAGTAACAGAGGAGATGAAAAGAAAACAAAAGTGCCCCAAATCATAAAGATTATAGGAGACAAAGTAGGGCCACGCTTACAAGATGTAGCTCATGGTATAAAAAAGCTGACAAATACAACCAGAAATGCACAACTGGGAGAGGATAAAATTGATGAATGAGACCTTCTAAAGATTAAATCATTTTTGCACAGAATAATGTGAAGCACAATGTATACAAACTTGAAAGCAAACCAATTAAACAAATAATGTAAAATAGGATGTATATAATTGAACGAATGAAACACAAAGTAAAATGAAAGATTGTATAAAACACAATGTATATGAACGAAACATAATGTAAAGGAATTATTATATGGAATCCAATAAAAATCTGTATTTTTTTTAAAGAGAAAGTATTTTCCAACAGAGTAAAAAGAAAACCTACTGATTGAGAAAATAACATTTTGTAATACCTTCTCAGACAAGGATCTCATAGCAGAAGTTTCCAGAATCTTACAGGGCCTCCACAAGAAAGATTCATAGCCCAATTACAAAATGGGCAAAAGACATGGAAAGAGCTTTCATTTTTCACGGAGATTGAAAGGGAAATTGTCAAGTTTATTTGGCGAGGAAAGAGACCACAAATAAGCAAAGCAGTTCTGAAAAACAAAACTGAAGTGGGAAGCAGAGCACTCCCTGACCTCAAAACCTGCTACACAGTGGTAGTGACCAAAAGAGCATGGTGCTAGCAATGAATCAATGGAAATCCAAAATCTCTGTAAATGTTCATTAAAATTATTAAAATAAAAAAATTCCAAAAATAAAAAAAGAGCATAGTGCTGGTACAATGTCAAGTATAAAACCCAGTGAAACAGTATTGAGAACCCAGAAATAGACCCAGCTATCTATGGTAAACTGATATTCAGCAAAGAAATAAAACCTATCAACTGGGGAAATTACAACCTCTTCAACAAATGGTGCTGGCAAAACTGGACTGCTACCTGCAGAAAGCTGAAACAGGATCCACATCTCACACGACACACAAAAATCACCTCACAGTGGATCAGAGACTTGGGAGTAAAGCCCCAAACCATAAAGTTCATCAGAGACAAAATGAGATCAAGCTTAGACAGCCTAGTCTATGGTAAACACAGACTGCAGAAATGTACAATCTGGAGAAGATAAAATTGATGAATGGGACCTTTTAAAGATTAAATCCCTGAATGCATCAAATTTTTTTTCAACAGAGTGAAAAGAAACCTACCGACTAGGAAAAAATATTTGGCAATAGTATTTCAGGCAAGGGTCTCATACCAAAAGTTTATAGAATCCTACAGGGCCTCCACAAAAGACTGATAATTACAAAATGGACAAAAGATATGGAAAGACTTTTCAGAGAGGAAGATATTCGAATGGCCAATAGACACATGAAGAAATGCTCAAAATCACTGGCAATAAGAGAGATGCAAATAAAAACCATAATGAGATGCTATCTCACTCCAAGTAGTAGTGGCAAACTTTAAAAGGACAGCATGCAGGAGCAATGATTTTGTAAATCACTACCTAAGTTTGGAAAGACTGGAGAGCATTATGCTAAGTGAAATAACTCAATCCTATAAGGACAAATACTGTGTAAGATCATTATTGCAGAAATAGAAAGATAACCAGTAATATATGTATAAAGATCTAAGGCAGGGAGAGTGGGAGCAGAGAGGTGAGGATAGGTGGAGGTTGGGTATAGGGTTGCTCAATTTGATGGGTGGAGGGTGGGGTGGAAAACAGAAATGGGAAAGATCCTGTGTGAAAAACAATGTATATAAACTTTGTAAGCAAACCAGTATAAAATAAAAATTTATTTAATAAAAAGAAACAAAAAGAAAAATTAACTCAGCATAAAAAATTATCATGCCAGATTTGGCCTGTGAGCTGTCATCTATCACACTCTATCTAAAATATCACACCTCAAACATCTAGTTAGGCATCTGACATGTGCTTGGTAAAGATCAGTTTCATGTCCATCTCTGTGCCCTCAGAGACTCTCCCATGTACTCTAGTTTTTGCTCTTCTCTCTGTAGGACCTTTGCACACACTATTTCTATTGCTAATGAAACCCTTTCTCCTATCTTTACCTGACCAACTCCTAGTCAGTTCAATCATCAATTTCCCAGGGAATCTCCTGACCCAGCAGACTAGAGTTCATCTCCTGGTTATCAATCTTGTGACATGGTGAGCTCTCCTTCAGGATCCCACTTATATATGGACCCATTTATTCATGGACCCTTTCAGTAACACCTTTATCTCCTATTAGATGACAGATCCTCTGTTTATCAGGACCATCAATAGAGGTCTTCCTCAGGTGCCCTGCCAAAGCTCCTGGGAGGGACTTAGAGGTCTTCAAGAAGCGTCTTTCCACTCAGACTCAGCATCTTTCTACTCTCAGCTCTCCTCCCCGCCCTCCCCTTGACTTAAAGTCTAAGAAACTGGAAGGAAACTTTGGGGCTCCCACAGATGCCCATATCTGCTCTGATTTACCTCTCCATGCCAAAGTGTCTGGGGTGCTCTTCCTGAGAAAATGGGGGACAGGGGAAGGACACAACCTTCTCCAGTTTCATCACTTGTCTCTCATGTATACATTTGCTATAGTAAGCGATTGAAACCTTGACTTTCCTTTTGGCTCCTGTCAGAACTGACTAGCAGGATACCTGGTGGCTGAGCTCAGATGCCTGACAAGTCAGGACTCTGTGTGTGTGTGTGTGTGTGTGTGTGTGTGTACACAAGCGCACACATGTGTAGGTCAGTACACTGCAACAGAGGTGGTTTCATGCCTCTCTCTCCTTTGCCTGGACCAGGACACCCTCCCTAGGTAATATGCACAGAGTGATTGGCTGGTCTCTACACTGTGGGAAACATCCAACAGACGTCCCACCAGACACTCCTCCCACCTGCCATGGGTCCTGAGCCCAGGCTGAGCCAGACAGACATCTAGAAGCAGTGACAGGCTTGCAGAGCAGTTTTGGAAGGAAGAGAAGGGTCTAGGAGGCCACATAGGAGGGTCTGACAGCAGCATGGAGGACATAGGAGACCCTCAAGGACCTAGCTCTGGGCTTGGAGTCTACCAGACCTCCAAGCCCAGCCCTGTCACTTCCCAGCAATTTTTCTGTTAAACATGAGGGTGAGAGGGCCTACCTTTGCCGTGCAGTGAGCATGTCGTGCACTGGACTCAAAAGGCAGGCACACAGTAGGTGCTCAATAAATGCATCTCAGGAGTAGGAGGGGAGAGAAGAAAGACATCCACTTACCAAAGTCAAGGCCCTTCTGGGTGATCCTGACCACGAAGCCGGGGTTGGTGGCCGCTGCCGTAGTTGTGCCCACCATGGCCAGCACCAGGAGGGCTGTCCACCTGGTCATGTTGCCGTCCTACAGAGCTGCCAAAGCCTTGGGCGCTTGGAAAGGAAGCGAACCGGGACCTATAAATGAGCCAGCTGAGGAAACACAAGTCAGATGAAAACAGAAAGAAGGAAGGAACTGGGGTGGGGACTTGGGGTTGAAGTTCCTCATTATAGTGGGGCCACGGCTTCAGAGGCAATGACGTGTGTGCAGTTGAGACTCCCGGACCTCATTCTCCTCCCTAAGCCTTTTCTCCTCTGAGCTCCCACCCAAGCCTCCCCATCTGTGGTGGGGACATCGGGGTTCATTAGTGAGAGATGGAATATAAAAATAGCAACCAACCCAGGCAGACAAGCTACTACCTGAAACCACATGTCCAGGAAGCCAGATGACAACCCCTGGAATAATGGGCCCCAAATGGCCAGGACTTGATTAATAATTGACAGCTTCTTTAATTTTTGTCTTCACTTCCACCTTAGGAAAAAGTTGAGGAAACCAAATATGGTCTCCAAGCTAATGGAACAGAACTAACCAGAACCCCACTTCTAGTTAGCCCCCCAGCCTCCAGCTTCCCCAAGCCAACAGCCTCCCATGATGATGCACCTGACTTCTCCTCTCGCCTTTTTTCTTTTGGTGGAGGATTTTCCCTGTTCTCTGCCTGCCTACAGGTCTCTGACAGACACAAGTGATAGGTAGTGGCTGACTCCTTCACTCCAGCAAGCTCTGAAGGAATAGTAGCCCTTTGGGTCCAATCTCATTGAGTGTTATTTCTCTGTTTCCACACTAGTTTTGATTTCCTAAGGGATACCTGGTGATGTGGTGGTAAAGCACTTGTCTGCTAACTGAAATGTTGGCAGTTTGAACCCATCAGCCACTGCTCTACAAGAGGAAGATATGGCAAGATGCTCCCATAAAGATGACATCCTTGGAAACATACGGCAATTCTGCTCTGCCCTATGTTGCTATGTGCTGTCAACTTGACTATGACTCATAGTGACCTTGTGCATACTAGCTCTGAACCCTCTTCTATCCTCACCAACCTCACTGTCTCTGACACACCCAACCTGATTAACCCAGTCACTAAGTCAATCCGTCTCATCGAGGGTCTTCCTTTCCGGCGCTTCCCCCCACCCTCCCAAGCATGATGTCAGTCTCCAAGGCCTGGTTCTGCCTTGCAACATGTCCAAAGATATCAGATGAAGCTTCAGAATCTTTGCCTCCAAGGAGCAGCCTGGCTTCACCCTCTCTAGGTTGAACCTGTTTGTTCTCCTAGCAGTCCATGGTATATTCAACACTCTTCTCCAGCACCACAGCTCAAAGGCATGAATTCTCCTTCTATCATCCCTTTCTGATGCATAGCAAGTGATTACAAAGACTACGGCTTGGATGGTAGGAATGGTTGAGAGTAACTCAGCCCTGCTACTCTCTTCTCACCTGACCTTGGATGAATCCATTTACTTCTCTGAACCTCAGTTTCCTCTTCTGTATAGTGGGGACAATAATAATACCTACCTTTCCTGATTTAGTATGAAGCACTTTCACCGCTTAAAAGCACTTGGTCTAGGAGACCTGCATCATAAGTGCCCAAATGAAAGCTGCTACTATTACTTTAGTTTTAAAAGTAATTCATGTTCATTGAGGAAAATCCAAAAAAGCACCAATTAGAGAAAAAAACTATACAAAATCCCCCTTCCAGACAAAGAGAAATGTTATTACAGACAACTTCTCCTTACTCTTATGTAAACAAGCCAAAATCATATCAGATTTACTGTCCTGGGTCCATTCCAACTCCTAGCAACTCTTCTTGAGGTTTCTGAGGCTGTAAACATTGACAGAGGTGGTTTGTTCCTCAGTCTTCCTCAGAGCTATTGATGGACTCAAACAGGCAAACTTCAGGTTTGCAGCCTGGCACACAACTAGGACTTTAAGTGTATTATTATTTTTTACCAAATATTTCTCAGTTTTGTAAAGCACCTTTTTAAAAACAAACCAGTAAACAATATGTGAGAATCTTCTCACCTAGCTTTAAATATTCCTATACGTGCACCATATACCACCCCTACCTGGACCCTCTTTACCACATTCTTAGTTTTATACACTTTGGCCCCTTTCTTTGACAGAAGCAGAACTGAGGCTCAGAGAGGGCAAGTGTTCTGCCCACAGTCACACAGCAAGCTCCTAGCTAAGCTGGTATGCAAATGGACCCACTCCACACGGGGTAGGTGAGGCAGAAGAGCGCATGTTGAGATATTTCTCTCCCAATCTCAGCTTTCTACACTGGTCACTACTCGGCCTCCACCTGTCTGGGCTGCCAGCCTCAGACCTTGGGTGGGTAGGCACCCCACTGAGCAGTCAGCTCGTCTCCTTGGTGATGAGAGGCATGGTGGGACGCAGGTGGGGCGGGCTTCTCTCCCCCAGGCTCCTCATCAGCCCCCTGGCGCTCTGTCTCACCGCCTTCTGATTTTCTGAGAGTCCAATGCAGCCCCCTGGGGCAGAGGCTGTGAGACCTCCTCCTGCGTTGGGGTGTGTGTGTGTGTGTGTGTGTGTGTGTGTGTGTGTGTGTGTATTTTCTTCTCATCTGTTTCAAAAAGGTCTCCTTCTTACCCCATCTGCAACAACTGGAATCCTTCTGGCTTGCTTACGAATGAAAACAAGAGCTTTGTCCAGAGCATGGACTGTGTGCCAGATGCTGTACAGCAAAAAAAACAAAAACAAAAACAAAAACAAAAACAAAAACAAACCAAAACAGCCCGTGAAGGAGAGTGACTAGTGTCAGTCTTAGAGGTGAGGAAACTGAAGTGTGGAGAGATGAGCTCAGTCAAGGTCATACGGACTTGTGTGCGGAGAGATTTTCTTCAGTCTCACCCTGGCCTCGTCACTTTTCCTCTGAATGACCCTGGCCTGCAGACGGTCCTCTGTGTCTGCACAAGGAAGTTAGCTCTAAGTACAATCCCAAATGCATAGAACAATGACTTGTCATAACATCAGAGTTCTGAGAAGTGACCTTGTATGCTTTTAAACACCTCCAGCTCCAATGGCACAAAGTGCCTGGGTCCCCCAAGCCCAGCTGGATGGTACGCCTGTGAGCAGGACAGGCGGGGGCGGAGCCTGGAGATGAAACTCCCATGAGGAGGACTTGGATTGTCATACAATCAGAACCTTAACAGCAGCTGACAAGTTTCTAAACAAGCCATCCCTACTGGCTTTGCCTAATTGCTCATGCCAAACCAGCATCAGATGCATCCAAGCTTTCATCCTCCTTTTCAGCCCTGCAGTGGCCAGCCCATGAACTTTGAACTCATAGCTTAACCTTCCTGAGTTTCCTGATTCCTCCTCGTGCTCCACCTCAAGTGTGAACCCTTCTTTAGATCCAGATGTTCAAGTGCTTGCATGCAGCCATCCCTGAGGTCAGCAAGACCACAGACGACCCTCTTCCTCGGACCTTTGATTCCCAGTCTGTTCCTTCCTGCATCTACTTCAGGGCCACCTCCTCCACGAATCTGGCTGCCAGGGTTTCCAGTCATTCTGTGCCTCTGGATCAGGGGCTTGGTGTGTAACGCGTTGAGCTGTTAACAGGAAGATTGATCAAATCTCCTGGAGGTTCTTTGATAGAAAGGTGAGCAGTGTTTGACCATAAAGATTTACAGCCTCAGAAAACCAGTGGAGGGTCACTGTGAGACTCCACTTGATGAGTGTGGTTTGGTTTTGGAGTTGATGCTCCTAGATAGAGGTGCCAGAGGGCCTCCAGGTGGATGCAGAGGGTAAAGAGGAGGACGGGAATAGGTCCTCAATGAGATCTGGCCTCAATATGTAGCATCTAAAATGTAATAATATAATATTTCCTACCATAAAAAGAACCTCTTGATAGAGTTTTTCTTACCTTGTTATGTTAAAAGGGTGCTTTTCCTTCCTAACCTGAGTCTTACTTGGATCAACAATTAACACCTTTATTTAGTACCAGCAGTCAGGAAATAAGGAGAAAAGTCTGAGGAAGTCTGCGGTTAGGGACCACTCCAAATTATTGAAGAGTAATGACATCAGTTTGAGGACTAAGGTGCATCTGGTTCAGGCCATAGTCTTTCTGATTACTTGCTATGAATTTGAGATCTGGACAGTGAATAAGGATGGCAAAAAAAAGAATTATACCTTTGAGCTGTGGTGTTAGAGAAGGGCACTGAACATCCCATGGACGGCCAAGAGAACAGACAGCTACGTCTTAGAGAGGGTGCAGATGGAGTGCTCTTTGGAGGCAAGAATGTTGAGGCTTTGCCTCACATACTTTGGACATGTTGCTAGGAGAGTCTATTCCTTGGAGAGGGACATGATATTCGGAAATGTGGAGGGTCGATGAAGGAGAGGAAGACTCTCAACCAGATGGATTGACACTGTGACTGCTGCAATGAGCTCTTGTGTGTCAGGAAGTCGGAGGATGGTGCCAGATAGGACAGAGTTCAGATCTTTTGTTCACAGGGTCGCTATGAGTTGTGCTTGACTCAATGGCACCTACCAACAAACAACAACAACCTTGAGTCTTATAATAAAAAGGCAAAAAAATAAAAAGATGAGTCCCAGCCCCTGGAGGAGACAAGGCTCCGAAAGGTGCAGGGTGGGGACAGATCTTTGTCACTGTATCATCACCATGATCATAATCACCACCATTGTCATTGCAAATATCAAAGCAGAACACAGGCCATATTCAAAGGTGAACAAATCAGAGAGATGTCTGAGGCAGGGCAAAAATCCAAGACAGTAAGAGTTTAGAGACTGAGAAAGTCAAAGGGGCTGGCAATCCCAAGAGGCTTCTGGGAAGAGGTGAGCCTTGACCCACATCCTGGGTTGCTTCTAGGGAGTTCAAGATATTGTTTCTTCTCAAAGAGCAGCCTCTGGGCAGAGCTGTGAGCTGAAGGAAAGGAAAAGAGAGAGCAACGTGACTCTCCTCGGGGATGGCGGTGGGAGGCGTCACTCTCACTTCTGCTTTTCCTCTAGAAATTGAGATACTTCAAATGTGT